CAAATAGTTGGGGTACATAGTACTCTGTGGCCGTTTCCTGATCGAATCTGTGTGTGTGAAAAGACTCGGAATCAGCATCAATATGCAATCGCCTTACTAGCTGAAGATAACTAACATAAGGACCTGATTCATGACCATTGCTTGTGTGAGGAATTATATATATAAAGACGAACCAATGCATCCTCCCACGGGCAAGTCTCATCAAACATGTATTCCGGGCGCGCTAGATCAGAGACCCAGTAGAAGAGAAAGTGGCCGTTGTCTTCACTTTCAAGAGCTAGTCTCAGAAATTGTACTAGGTATGGATTAAGTCGATTTTCGAGTTCCTTTGATGGTTGATACGCCTTCCCACCATGCTCGAACTTTCTTGGGTGGCTTTCCACTTACAATCCATCCTCAGTGGAAGTTTTCGTTGTGCAATGCGCCACAGCGCTCGTAGTCGAGATGGTCTAGTTGTCAGAGTGGGTTTTTAAGGGTGGTTTCTATGTTGTGAAGCCATTTTGGGGGAAACAAACTTATAGGGGCATTGGGGGGGGAAGAACTTAGTAGACCCGGGGGGAAAAGGAGTCAAATAACCTAAACCTCAAAGCTAACTACTTACGGACTCAAACAATACCAGGTCGGTTTGGCTCTGCTGCAGTCCGAGGACTAGAAAATCGGATATTGGAGTGGCCAGACCAATACGTATAAGTGAAAAGCCTATCCCTTATTCTGGGCTTGCCAAGCCAGGCAGCCTTTATATTGTGATATGCATTATGAATTGTATGTGGCCATTTTCTTGTAGATACGAAGGCGACGTCTTTTTGAAGATCATTGGCGGGGTTCAAAAGTACCCATACAGAGGAATCCCACTTGAAATGTTCATCAAGAAGGTGGGCAGAGGTAGAGATGGTCCGGAGCAAGCAAAGAGGGAGAGAAGCGTCTCTACTATGAGTTCTGCTATTGGAAACCGATAACACTAGACTATTCTAGCGAATCCTGCTGCTCATTTTCACTAAACTGAGTGGATGACATAGTAGATTCAATGTATCAAAGTCTATAGCTAACTATTCCTTTAACCGGGTATAGTAACAAGCCCGAAACCAGACCGGGTACGTAGAAATACAGTTATGAATCTGCTACCTCTATGAGATAAAGTCTGGTACATGGCATGCAATGGGGGTAAGAGAAGACGCATATTGTAGCAATTCATGGGCAACCGTGCTTTCTGCAAGATCTCCCGAGAACTATATATTCTATCAACGTTCACGCTTTTCGTCCTCAGGCACGTCTCTATACCGATACAATTTCTTTCGTGGCTCTAGAAAAGTTTACAGCAAGACCGAGTGTTTCCGACGTGGCACCTAGAATTGACACAAAAACAATTCCCACCATAAACCTTTTCTCTCTCTCTATCTGTTATGCTAGACATTAGTGATTGGGACAGAGTCCAGGGCAACAAAAACAAAAAGCAACCAAGTATTGACCGACGCAGGGGTCGAACCTGCAATCTCTTGATTCGTAGTCAAGCGCCTTGCCATTGGGCCAGCCGGCCTTGGATGAGATTTCGGCGCAGAATTTGCTATCATAAACCCATTGCATTAAAAAATGAGGGTGTGTGGATGCCGGATGGGGATGGCAGAAAAACGGACAGCGCCAAGTGGGTCGGCGCGCTAATGCATGACATCATGCAATTTCAAGCGAGCCAAACTGACCGCAAACGGCACGTGACCAGACCGCAGTCAACCAGTTTGGAAAGGCGCGACCCTCGGTGTGGTAGGGCGTTGGCGGATTACTTTTGGGGGATTTGTGCTGTTGAGAGCGATTCGAATCGAGTGAAAAATTTATGGTCTAGTCTATCGGAGGCTGCGATTACGGATATTCGATTTTGAATGGAAAGCAAATGTTTTGAGGTTGTAGGAATTGATGTCAAAATCATCGATATCCCGATCTAATCGATTGATGAACTCGTCGGACACGCTTGCGGATTTGCGGTTATCCTAGCGTTGTCGGCGCATCGGCTCGCGGTAGTTTGGTTCTTTGACGCTATCCTTATTCCGTACCGCCTGATTCTGCCGAAGTGCTGACAACATCTAGAAACCCATGTGTCTCCTCGATAACCATGAAGCTGGAAGATTTAACTTCCAGACCAAGATATGGTAATCTACGCCTCTACCAAAGATCTCCAGTATCTTTCGTACCTGTCAATGCCGTACAAAACAAAACAATCCAAGCCCAAAACCAAAACCACGGAAAGCGGTCCCCAAGGCGGTCAGATTGACTGAACGAACAGCGGGTCACCAAAATTTTCTCCGCCCCACCGGCACGCGACATTGGAACCGCACCACTTTTCATCCGATGTCTCCCCAATGAAGCGCCAAAGCAAACAGATCGAATCACAGAAACAAAACAAAAAGCAAAAGAATTGACCGACGCAGGGGTCGAACCTGCAATCTCTTGATTCGTAGTCAAGCGCCTTGCCATTGGGCCAGCCGGCCTTGGATGAATTTCGGGCAGAATGTTTGGTTATATGAGGGAAAGAGATAATATGGGTGCCATGTAGATGTTGCGTGGAGGGTTAGGGTGAGGAGTTGGGGACTGAATGCCATGAGAGGGAGTTGGGTAGTGCAGGCAGAGGGGTATGGAGCTGTCGTATGTGCAGTTAACTGGGTAAGTCTTCAGATATCCTGGATGTGTGACGACCTATGACTGAAGAGGAGCACTAATTAGCGTGTATAGGTATACTCGAAGTATGGAGCAATAGCATAGTAGTGCGGTAAGGTTGTTGTATGCTTTAAAAACGCCCTGGAGTATGCCTTAAATGATCAAAATGGGTAGATTTAACGAAAGCGGAGGGTCATAGACAGTAGTTTGGAAGGGAATCCTCCTATATAGCAGGTTGCATACAAGACGGGCGATTACGCAAAGGACAAAGTGATTGGCTAATTGCAGCCTCTGGCATCTCAAAGTGTCATATTTGTGGGCATTGGATCAAGACAGCATCTTGGCTACATGTTCGCTCGATCAATGCATATTGCTCACTACCTTAGCGCAGAAGCAAAATGATAGCAGCATACTAGAGGATTGACTGAGCGTGCCCTGATCATGCTGCTATCTATCATAGGTCAATCCATTCTGGGCTTGAGTAAGAATCCGTCAGCTCGATATCAAAACGTTTTACTTGGAATGATACAATTGTTTGCAATCGTTCTCTAGAGAGAGCAAAAACAAAAAGCAAAAAAGTATTGACCGACGCAGGGGTCGAACCTGCAATCTCTTGATTCGTAGTCAAGCGCCTTGCCATTGGGCCAGCCGGCCTTGGTTGAATTTGAGACACAAACTATGCATATCTAAACGAAGGGCCACCCCTGGAGGATCAACTTGTGAATCAATGTTTGCCTGATAACTACGAAAGCAAACGGTATTAGCATCAGGTCGCTCTATAGCGCAAAGTCCATATGGCTTGAACGCGAATGCAATCGGATTTCCGCTGTGATTGCCCCACAATCCAAAGAATCACATGAAATTTCATACTTATAGTCAAGAGAAGATAAAGTAAGATCTAAGTTTGCTAGAAATCTTGCTTATTGGTCATAAACATACAAAAGTCTACTACAGTATATATCAATCGGTCCATTTTCTCCCTCCCTCACAGAGCTCCCAGCTCCTTCAGCTTGGAGACCAGTCCGTTCACATCCTCGACCTTTCCGCCACCCTGGCGGGCGGGAGGTTCTAGACCGAGTCAGCCACCAGGATCTATTGAATTTCGGGAAATCGATGAGTACATACCAGTCACCTTCAATGTCTTCAACCGTCTCTTATCCTCAACGCCCAGATCGGCCAGAGTCTTCTTCTCCAACGGCTTCTTCTTGGCCTTCATGATGTTGGGCAGACTGGCATACCGAGGCTCATTCAACCGCAAGTCCGTGGTAATCACCATAGGCAACTGAGCCCGCAGGGTCTCAACACCACCGTCCACCTCGTGAGTCACCTCGACGGTGCCCTTGTCGTCCTTCACGTCGACCTTGCTGGCCTGCGTGGCCTGAGGCCACCCCAGCAGACCCGCCAGCATCTGACCCGTCTGGCCCTGGTCGCCATCAATGGCCTGCTTCCCGAGCAGCACCAGGTTGATGTTCTCCTTGTTGACGACCTCCTTCAGCATCTTGGCCACGGTCAGGGGCTCCAGGCCTCCGTCGTTGCTGTCGGCCACGTCGATGTGGAACGCGCGGTCCGCGCCCATGGCCATGGCCGTGCGGAGGGTGTCGGCGCATTTGGCTCCGCCTGCGGAGAGCGCGAGGATGTTGTCGACCTTCAGGGGGCCCTTGCGTTCGCGCAGACGGACGGCCTCTTCGATGGAGAGCTCGTCGAAGGGGTTCAGCGAGTGCTTGACACCGGCGGTTTCGACTCCGGTTTGGGCCTTGTTGATCCGGGGTTTGATCTAGTGGGTTTGGGTTAGTGATAGATAATCTTTGAATCATTGATTGATGCGGGCTTGTGAGCTTGTGCTGGAACAATAGAACCCTCCACGCGAGGCCGAAGTTGGTGGTTGCGGTTGTCGGCGTCATGGTTCAGATCCGCGGAGGTACAAGTGACTCTTTCACCGAGAACGGAGCAACGAGAATTGATCAGAAACTCACCGCATAGTCGATGACCCGCTTGACGGGTACTAAAATTCGCAGACCACTGGCCATTATGAAGGTATTATGAAGAGATTGACGGCTCAGGAGAGAGAAGTCAATGGGAATGTCTTGAAATGTAGAGGGCCAGCAGAGAGGGGACAGTGAGGAGAGGGTGGAAGAGAAGAGGCCGATTCGACGGTTCCGCGGCAGAAAGCAGGTGACCGGGCGGAGAGGGAGCGCCGACGCGGCCCGACGAGATCCCCTCCGCTTCCAACCGAGGTTACCGCCAGGTAGGCTATGAGTATGTACTAGATACGGGCTGGATTGCATCAGTCTATGGACTATTTACATGTCTATTCATATGTTCTTGTATATGGTTCGATATCTACGGACCCGGATCGATCACCACGTTTCTTGCTTGTACCGCCCTATTTTCTCCATACCGATCAGATACTCTTCTGCCTCCTCTCGGCTGGAGACCTCTCCTTCGGGCTCTCCTCCACGTTGGAAGGCCTCAGTTAGAGACTCTCGGACGGCTTGTGGCATCCGACCCGATGAACCGCAAACGTACACGCTGCCTGACAGTTCATGCAGGAATTGGTAGAACAGGCCGAGGTTCTGGCGGATAACATCCTGCACATAGATCTTTTGGCCCTGGTCGCGGGAGAACGCCGTGAATACTTGCAATTTGATCAAGTCGCGTAGCTGTTCCCACTCATCCTCGAAGAAGTAATCCGAGGCCCGATTGCGGCCGCCGTAGAGGAGGATGGACGGCCCGATGGGTGGCTCAGCGCCCTGATTCTGAAGTTTGTACTCCTTGACGAGAGCCGCCTTCTCCCAAAGCATGGATCGTAAGGGCGCGACTCCAGTGCCGGGACCTATCAGCACCGTTGTGCCGGTGAGCTGACTTACGGATGAATTCAAACCCCCTCGTTGAAGCTGGACTCTCAACGTACTCCCGGGGCGGAGCACGGAGAGATATCTGGTGCACACGCCCTCCCTTATTCTTTTGATAATGGTTCTGTACTTCACTGTGGCAATCAGTAGCTCGAACTTCGTCCCTCCTTCCGGGGTTCGCTTCAGCTCTCCGCCGCTAGCAATGCTAAACTGCCTCGCCCGAAGAACGGGAAAGACCGAAACGGCATGCTGCCACGGGATCTTGACCGAGTCGAATTCATACAGCACCTCGATGATGCTACGCCGTGGTCGGGTTGTGTAGTCCCAGAATTCATCCAAGAATTCGGGATTCGTGAATTCTAGCAGTCGTTCTTTGTGCATTTCATCCTTGGTGTAATGGGCTATCGTTGAGAAAAACGCGCGACGAGGAATGGCTCGGAGATCCAAGTAGTCCATCAGAAGCGCTCGCAACGTCAGTTTCGGGTATTTTTCGAGACCGAGAATCGGGGGAAGATGTTCCTCGTCTACTATCTGCTGGCTATCCCTAGGGACTAGCGAAACTGGCAGGTCGGCTTGTTCCTCCCAGCCCATCATCTTGATCATTGCCTCTACATCGTCGGCGAAGTTTTTCGGCGTAATGGCGAGCATGTCTCCTGGGTTGTAGGAGACGAAGTCAGGCACGGTCAGTGAGACATGTCGCACGTCTTGCCAGTGTTTCGGCGGTGTCACGCGCTTGTTGCCCGTGAGGGTGGCCGCCAAGGTATCTGGGATGGGTCTCAGATCATGATCTAATCGAGTGAGACCTGGGAACGCATCTGATTCCGCGTGAGCCTCCTGGGTCCCTGGTACAGAGGTATCCGTCTGATCTGACGTGTCCTGGGCCTGTGGTTGCAGAACCCATTTAGGGGGCAACTGGGCGTCGTCCGGTATCGGATCTAGTCCTGGCGGTAGTGGATATGTCTCTAGCAAGTGCTTGCGGAGATCTGTCATCCATGGAAGAAAGGTCCCTTCGAGGCTGAGATATTATTAGGGCATGGTACGAGATGCCTCGCCTGAGATCAAAGACATACCCTTCTGGATGTTGCTGATCGGCTTCCCCGCAAGGATATACCTCGTTTGCTCCCAGCTGCTGCAATCTTTTGTTCAATTTGCGCGCAGCCCAGTTAAACCTTGAGCAATTATTTAGCGACTGAACCGTATTGCGCAAAATAATTCATCGGACATACTTTGGATACGAGCTGTCGCCCAGACCAAATGAGACGAAATTAACCCCGCTTAAGAATGTGGGCGGGAGTTTCTTCAGCAGCAACGACCGCCAGAACGATCGAGCATTGGCGGGCAGGTCTCCCTGGCCTGTTGTAGAGAGGGCAAAGATAGTCACATTGTAGGAACGTAGATTTTCCTAAATCAGTCTCTGGTTAGCGTGGCTGCTGCACATCCCAGCTCTTACGAGAAAACCGACCGGCTTGACGTGATTCAACTCGGAGACCTGAGTCACGAAATGCAGGCGTTCAGCCAACACTCCCAGCTCCTCTGCCACCTCATGAGCATTCCCAGTTTCAGAGCCATAGAGAACGAGAGCAGACCGCTTCTGCAATGCCGGTGGCCGACTCTCTGCCATTCTGCGTATCCTGAGGTTGGTTCGGGGGAATTGGAGATTGTTTGTCGCACTGGCGAAGAACGTTTTCGTCCGCGGATCGGGATGATGTCATCCGCGCCTGAGGCCTCCTATTTTCTTAAGTTTCTCTTTCTTCCCCTCTTTCTTTCTCTTCTTCATTCATTGTCAACTCCATCATCCATATCAGTGACTGTAGAAGAATACAGTTCTTATTCCATGATGATTATCACCAAACAAACCAGCAATGGCTAATGAGTGCCTTGTTGCTCGGACCCTGTTGCCGGCGCTGACTGGTGATACACCTTGTGCTACCAACTCATGTCCTCTTTCTGCAAGGTTCGTCAAATGCGACTCGATGATTGATGCATCTTATACGCCACGTAGCCAACGCAAACCATGATTGCTCTCTCGGACCATGTCATTCCCGAGGTTCAAGTCCGGGACGAAATCCAACAAACATATATCTAAGAACTGACGAACTATTCATTGGTCATGATCCACCTGCCAGCCTGGACACGATCTATAAATATAAGATAGTTCGCTGGCCGAGATAAACCACTCGAACCTTGCAGCTATTAGTACATGCTCACCAGCCTGTGACAAGGGTATTTGGTGCACTTTTCGGCTATGGATATACTTTGCCGTCATGTCTTGAATTTGGTTCTATTTTAGATGCGAGACGTGCTCATGCGACACTCCCTGGTAGCGGAGTCCATCCGGTATAAAAGCCCCCCTACTCCCGGAAAAGGGCACCCACGCGGTATGGGAATTATCATTATCCTCCAAAAATGAACATATCATGTATGTACAGGGCTCTTGCCGTCGTCGTGACGGCAGTGCTTGCTGGTGCGTCTGCCACCGTTACCCCTGATGTGCACGCTTGTCGTTGTCGATTCAACGAGCCCTGCTGGCCGTCTAGCGAGTCCTGGAATCGTCTCAATACTTCCATAAATGGCAACTTAGTTGCAGTGCGGCCGGTGGGCTATGTATGCCACGGTGACTCATTCGACCAGGCCGGCTGTGATCAGGTAAAGGGGCTGTCAAATAGCAGCATATGGAGAGCTAGTCAACCAGGTACTCCCTCCCCTTAACAACGTTGAACCAACATGCAACAAGCCCTGACAAGCAGTAAATAGGTGCCCTTCAATGGACTAATTGGGAGACTTATGCACCGAAGAATGAGACTTGCTATGTCGATTCCCCAAAAGATCTAGTGTGCGGACAGGGGCGAATTGCTCGCTATGCTGCGGAAATCGAGACCCCGGAAGATGCGCAAGCTACCATCAAGTTTGCGAGGAAGCATAATATCCGCCTCGTTATCAAAAACACCGGCCACGACGTGACTGGCAAATCAAGCGCTCCTGATTCTTTGCAGATTGCTACTCATCGGCTCAAGGATATCGAGTACGTGTCTAACTTTGTCCCGCGCGGCGCGAAGGCCCATCATTCTCGTGGACCTGCAGTCACCATGGGTGCAGGAGTATTGGGGTTAGAGCTGAACTCCGCAGGGGCAGCTGGCAAATATCTGGCTGTCACAGGTATCTGTGGCACAGTTGGCACCGCGGGAGGATATATCCAAGGTGGTGGCGCGTCGGCGCTGAACCGGCTTTTTGGATTGGCTTCAGACAACGCTCTCCAGTTCACCGTAGTTACAGCGGAGGTATGTGAACAAAGTATGCACCAGCACGTACTATACTGGAATCTAACTCACCGAGTAGGGAAAACTGGTCGTTGCCAATGAGTTCCAGAACAAAGATTTGTTCTGGGCTCTCAGAGGCGGCGGCGGCGGCACCTTTGGGGTAGTCATGAACGTCACGGTCCGTGTCTATCCAGATGTCTCGGCCGTCCATGCTCTCTTGACCATCACTCAACCCTCTGGGGGCGAGAAGTTCTGGGAAGCCGCGCACGAGCTCTTGGCTGCGCAGCCTACCCTAGTCGCAGGACTCAGCCACGTCCGAATCACCGGGTTCCCAATCAACGTTAATGACCCGTCCACGGGAACTCTTGTACTGGAAGCGACCCTGTACAACACCACTGTGACCGCAACAGACGAGATTTTCGCACCGCTGCGTGAAGCCCTCACTAATGCTGGTATACCCCATGAATACCAGTCCGACCACCTCCCCAGTGTCAGTGCATACCTAAAGAACCCGCAATACATCGACACAGGCGGCGTAGGCACTCTCCACGGCTCGGTCCTGGTATCAGAAAACTTCTATCATGCAACTGACGCACCATCAAAGTTAGCCGACACCCTCTCCAAGCTACGAGCAGCACCGGGCAGCGTGATTGAAGTCACCACGTTCGGCGGCGGACAGGTCAAAGCAAACAAGCACATCGTCGATAGTGCCGTGCACCCAGCATGGAGGGAGGCACTAACAGTGATCGACCTGTTTGTTAACCTGCCGTCCAATTCCAGTTTCGAGATGCAGAGGACGGCTCAGAATATCCTGACGGGGGATCAAATGCCGCTTCTGCTTTCCCTGGAGCCTCGGATGGCGTCGTATGTCAATGGCGCGGATTCTCAGCAGAAGGATTTCCAGTGGCGGTTCTGGGGAGACAATTATCAGCGGCTGTACGGGATTAAGCAGGCCTGGGATAAAGATGGGCTGTTTATCTGTACCATGGGAGTCGGGAGTGAAGATTGGGACAAAGAGGGGATGTGTAGGAAGAAGTCCCAGTAATTGAAAGTCACGCTAGATGGGTGCAAGCAGTAGACGAAGCATCCTCACACTGTCGTTTTGGATATCTAGACACAACTGCCGGACGGCATATCCCCTCCCAACCAACAATACTGAACTCCCAACCGCAGTAAAACAGAGACATAGATGGAGAAAACAAAAAAGGGTATCAAAACCAGAACTATCAATCCACGAAACCGTCAAACTTATATCCCCCAAAACAAAGTCTAATACGTATCCTCCTCTCCACCACCACCGCCGTCCCCGAACCCATCGTCCCCAAACTCATCATCTCCGCCATCAAAGTACTGCTCAGCATTGTAATCACCACCCATCTCATCCTCATCATCCTCGAAATCATCATCAATGATCTCCTCTTCTTCCTGCCCTTCCTCATCTTCTAGCAGGTCTTCGTTCTCGGGGCCTTCACCGTCCTCGCCGCCGTCGCCCTTCTGCCTCTTCTTTGCCTCGTCATCGTCCTCTTCCTCGTCGTCGTCTTCGAATCCGCGCTTGATTCCGGACCGTCCTGTTTGGGGGGTATATCCGTCGACCACAACATTGCCTTTGAAGTTAGGTTGGATGGTGGGCCAGAGTTCGCGAGGGAAGAATTTCAGCACTAGATACCACCATCAAATTAGCTCCTACCGATTCATTTCATTCCACGCCTAACCCTGATATCCAACCAAAAGAAGTAACGGGAAAGAAAAACAGCAGGCATACCATAAGCCCTCCCCTTCATCAACGGCAACGCCCTCTTCTTCTTCTGATACCGTCCCGAATACGACGGCATGCCATGGAACGGATCGAAGGACGCGCGCGCCGCACTGCCCTTCTTCGCGGCCGACGATGCAGCGTCTAGAACGGAGTAGTAGGGACCGTCGTGGAATCTGTCGCGTAGGTCCCGGTAGAGGTTCACTTGGAGGAGTTCTCGTTCGGAGAGAGGGCGGGCGCGAGGGACGGTGTATTTCTGCATTTTGATTTTGGGGTTAGATTTGTTGGTTGGAGTTGTTGTTTTATTTGGGAGTTGGGCAAGGGTTGAAGGGGTTTTGTAGTGATGTTGAGCTGGGATGGATGGTGAGGGGAAGGGAGGGGTTTGGAGATAAGTGGGTTGATGTCAATTGCATGGTGAAGTGAATTGAAGACCTGACTGGACTACACTAGACCAAACGCAAAGCAGCCCAGCAAGAAGTCACGCAAACAAATAAACGTACAGGGTAGAGAGGGGTTGGCGCGCCATCAGGCTCTCCATTTGGATCGGCATCCCAGGTGAATTCGGCGCCGGGGAGCTTCCTGCCACCTTTTTTGGCTCCAAAGCGGGACATAATTTAGAATAATTAGAAATAGGTAAGCAAGAAATAAGGGCCGAGAATATAAATATCCAAAATGGAGGGCAAAGTTGGGGATTGAGATCAAGCTGGAGGAGAATGTAGTGGATGACAGTCGCGCGAGAAAAAAATGTCCGGCGGAGATGATTCTCACCGCCTTGGCTGAGTGGGGGTGCAGAATCCAAATGTGAAGTATAAAAAGGTCCATAGTTTAACGTCACGTCATGATATTTGATTCAATAGAAAAGGTATCCGAATAGAAACAATAAAGAAGAAACACTGTTGGAATCACAAATGTCCCGCAGTAAGTCACATCCACCTCACGAATTAACAGTCTCCACCCGACTTCCGTTTTGTGTGACAGGTCCCCACGGTCCTTCGTTAACTCGCTGCTTCAGTGTTCGCACAATGTCCTCGAACCCTGGCACTTCTCCGTTCATATCATTGAGTCCCTCATATAGAGCCACCAGAACCTCATATTTCGCGGTAGCAACCTTCCACACGACATTTTGCGGATCTGCAGCTCCGCCGCCGACGAACTCGGCGTACGAGCGGGGTGGTTTGAACAGATACGGTAGCAGTGTGGTCAGTGCCGGCGGTGTCAGTGCTGCCCATACACCTGTCGCAGGCAGAACTCCTTGCGTAGCGGGCGAGAGATTGCCTAGGCCTTGCTCCGATGGGAGTTGATACCGGGTCGTTCCAGGGACTGACGAGATCACGTCGCCGGACAATTCCTGCCAGTTGGCGGTGATGATGCTCTTCATGAACGAGATTGCCGCGAGGGAAACGTCCTTCATGGCCAACAGATCTGCCGCGGCTACGATGTCCGTCCAGAAATTAGCACGATGGTTCAAGTACATAAAGTACAGGGCCCGCGCTGCGGCGGCTTCTTTGTGCCAGTCCGTGGCGGTTTGGCCGGACGTGTTCAGCTCCATGGAATCGGCCAGGTCCAGTTTCGGAGGCCCATGAAGGATCTTGCTCAATGCATCTAATGCCTCCTTGTTGGCCGGACTGGAGGGTAGCGCAAGTACGGGGTTCAACCCTTGCCTGCTGGCCTCAACTAGCATCACGCGAGGAAGACAGGACAGCACATTCAACTGTCCACTCGGTACGGGCCCATGCGCCCACTGCGCCGACGAGATCGCCACCGATGCTGAAATGCGAGACAAGATTTGGTTCAGCAAGCTTTGAGGGTTCTGTAAGAAATGATTAGGGTACAATTCAGCATACTGCGCCACGTAGGCCATGATCGGCCCGCACAGGTAATTCAGGTCCACGGGGTCGAGTTTCGATTCATCCAAATAGTAGCTTAGGAGGGTAGAATGCAGGTTATGAGCAATGAGGAAGTCGAGAGCGGGAGAGGAAAAGGTGGATGCCGACTGGACGAATGTGCGTGCCGTCAAACCGGGGGCATCGATCTCTAGGAGCTCATAGAAGAAGTTCAGTAACGTCATGTGCATCAGCACATCATTCTGCTCGACCATCTGGCAGGCGGCAAAATGCAAAAGACTTTGACTGTTGTACTTGGCCTCAACCTCCGGCACCTGAGAGCTGGAGATGATGTCCCATCGCAGCCGACCCGCTTTGACCAGGAAGCCCATCAGCCGGCCCTGGGCCAATGTCTTCTCGCGTTTCGGCAGACTGCCGGGACCGTTGTCGCTCAAACAGCAGAACGAGAACAGACGACCGTAGACTTCTTTATCGGTGAACAGTCTCCGCCACATGAGGCCCTGTCCTCCTCCGGCCTCGTCACCTTCATGAGTGATCCCATTCTCCAATGGACTGGCTAGATCGATCTCCAAAAGAGCCCATATCGCATCCAGGGCGGCTTGCGCGACGGCCGTTGACGAGGTCGACAGCCACAGGTCGACGAGAGAAGCAACCAATTCGGAATCCCCGGCGACAATCGCGGCGTCACTGGGGACCTTGCCCGCTTTACTCAGCAACGAAAGGGCCAGTAAGTTGATAGGTGGCGACGGGGCTTTGAATCCCGCGACGAAGTCAATAGGAGGGTCGACGGAGCGGAGCTCGGTGAAGCTAAAGTAAGCCGTAGCCTTGATTCCCAGGGTGGTGATGGGAGTCGGATCCTCCTGGAGGACCGGCAACAGCTGCGATATCTGAGTGAGAAGGGTGGCGGGGACTTTGCGGTCCGTAGTCTCTGTCAGCTCCAACTTTAGCTTGTCAAGTAGGGTGTGGTCCAGAGGAGTAGTCGGATCATTCTGGATCTGTTGGAGATGAAGCTTCACCTCGTCGTACGAAGAAGGGACCGCCATGTTGCCCGACGTCTACAGGAATTGATGAGGAAAGAAGTCCAGGAAGTTGAAGAGCGCCTTCGACGGCGGGGAAGCCGAGGGGGAATGCAAACAAGACAAACCAAACAACGGCCGCTTCTCCGCTCCGCCTTGGAGGCATCTGCAGCTCACTTCACTGCTTTGCTTCAAACCCGTCAGATCTTCTTCCCCTTTTTATTTTCTTCTTCTTGATTAGCCTGTCTTTCTGCTGGACCATCATGGAGGAGCAGCGCAGTTCTCTCCTCTCTCAGAAATCCTCGGACTCGGGACTCCACATCCAGCTCCATCCGCTGATACTCCTCACTATCTCCGACCACATCACTCGTCATGCGGCACGAGGTCAACAAGGTCCGATTATCGGGGCCCTACTAGGGCAGCAGAATGGACGTCAAATTACTTTGGAGCATGCGTTTGAGTGTATCGTGGTGGAGGGCCCGAACGGCGAGGCACAGCTATCGCAGGAATGGTTCATTGAGCGAGTGAAGCAGCGTACGGAACCCCCATGACCGACTGGCCTATATATCGTTCACTTTCACTAACAATGTGTTACAAACAGTTAAGGATGTTCACAAAGTTCCCGCCCTCGACCTCGTCGGCTGGTGGTCAACAGCCCCTCCATCGGGCCCCGACGAGTCCCATCTCCCCATCCATCGGCAGATCCTCCAAGACCACAATGAATCCGCCGTGTTCCTCGCCTTCCATCCGTCCCAGGTGCAGGGGGCGTCTTCTAGCGGTGGGAAACTGCCGCTGACAATCTACGAGAGCGTGTATGAGGGAGAGAACGCCGCGGATGGCGGCAAGGCTATGCAAGTGGATGGCGAAGAACAGTCGCTGAACATTCGATTCCGGGAACTACCGTACTTTGTCGAAACCGGAGAGGCCGAGATGATTGGGATCGACACCGTTGCTCGAAGTGCGACGAATGCTGCTCCGATTGAGTCGAGTACCGGCGGTACCGGCGAGTCGCAGAAGAAGCAATCTCGCAGCAAAGAGCAAACGGACATCCACGTGCTTTCCCAGGAGGATGAAGAACGTAAGCATACCCCCTCTTACATAACCACACCCCCCCGCAGCTAACACCCGACACAGTCATCGCCAACCTGAACACCCGCATCAACGCAATCCGAGCCCTCGAGTCCCGAATCTCCCTCATCAAATCCTACCTCTCCAGCATCTCCACTCAAGAACCAAGCTCCGAAAACCCGGCCTCCTCCGCCCCCAAACCCTCCGCAGTCCTCTCGCACCCCATCCTCCGCAACATCAACTCCCTCCTTTCGCATCTCTCGCTTCTCAGCCCGCAAGAACAAAGCGCCTTCTCCGCCGAGGTCCTCGCCCAGAGCAATGACGTCCACCTCGTCGCTCTCCTCGGCCAACTGAGCCAGAGCATCAGCGACATGCGCGAACTCGGCAGAAAAGCCGCCATCATGAACAATGTGCGCCGGAATATGCTCTCGAGGAAAACGCAACTCGCCGTGCAGAATCGGTTCGATGATGACTTTTTCGCTTCCCGGGATGGCATCGCGCATGGGTAGGTTAGGCATGGTCGTTAGGACGGGTTAGTCTCACTGCCACATGGCAAGTAAGGTGATGCTAGAGCGAGAAGTCTAGATGAGCTTCGAAAATGACTGGCGTTGGGTGTCCCTAGAGCAGGAATTTGATTTTTGATTATGATGAGAAATGAAAGATCCAATATAATGCCTCATATGCTGGATTGAATGTCGTTCACTCCGTATCGATCCTCTGTCTAACCGAACAATATAACAGTGAAAATCCCGACGAAATTCTAACGAAAAGCTTTCAATCAGAGATAGGAAAGAAAGAAAGTGCAAGAGGCAATCCACCCATGATATCATTGAAGTATATACAAGAAGCAAAAGAACAGAAAAGGGGAATCCCAAGACATAGATAAAACAGGGTATAGACAACCAAAATAACCAGCAAGCAATACATAAAACGAAGAAACTAACGGTAAGTTCGTCTCGACCATAAGAGGGATCTCATCCCATCCGTTCCCGTATAATCCATCAATCAATGAATCAATCAACCTAGACTCTAAGATCTAGGCTAGTCAGAACCGGAAAAGGCTAAGCCTAGCCAGTACTATGAGTGAGGATATCGTTGAATGTAAGGATCACTATCGTGATGTTGCGGAGGCGGGCGGTATGAGTCCGGGAGAGGAATGGGAGCTTGTTCTTGTAGCTCATCGGAGGGGTATGGAGTGGTGTTGGTGTTGATGGTGATAGCAGGGGGGTGGTTATGAGATGTGAGATTCTGGCTCGGTAGTTGACTGTTCGGGTGCTGATCAACGGGGGAATGATCGAGCGCCGATTCCTCCGGCATCATGTTCATGTAAGGATTGTGAAATCTGTCTTCGTAGGGTGAGTACGGCTGCGGAGAGTGCATGCCCGGTTCAAGCAGAGAGATGGCGCTGAGCCGGTTATGGTTGTAAAAGCGGCTATCGGTTTCCTCGTAGCCCGGCGGCATCATGGTGTCCGTCGGAGAGTGAGAGGCAGGATTAGGCTGCGCGTGGGACAGGAGCCCGTCGTCTTCATCGTCGGGCGAGGTGCCATATCGACCGGTAGTGGTGGTGCGACGACCGCCAGCGATCGAGGCCCCGGCCCCGGCTGTCGTGATGGGGACGCCGCCGTTGGAACTGAGACCGATTCCTTCGCTGGAGGTCTGGTAGCTGGGGTCCATGGTGCGTCTCTTGCGACCCACGAAGAGCCATCGGAGACTCCGGGCCACGGACCGAATGAGATCCATCGGATTAAAGGTGTCACCGAGAGCGCGCAATCCAAACCGGCCACCCTGATACGTCGCCTTGCCGTTTCCGTAAAAGTCGGTGACCTCGGCTGGGTGAGGATTTTGGAGGGAATACGGTTGCCATGCGAAGGACCACAGGTGCAGAACCGCGAAGATGGCCATTTCCATGGAGACCAAGAAATTGGGCAGTCCCACTTTCAGGTCACTGGCGTGAAGCTTCTTGGTCGCTTTGATGGCCCCGGCGGAGAAGAGAAAGGATATCATAATCTGCGCGATAGCATGAGCCGAGGCTTTGTAAAACAATGATATGAATTAAAGTCGTGTCTCTGACTTACCCCTTGCCAGAAGGAAAGGAAAATCACCAGCTTGATGGAGAGAATCTTCAAGAATGGTCGATGTTGGCTAATGTCGTCCTTGACCTGGATATAGAACTGGATCAGACAGTACATAGCGATACTGACGGCGATACACTCGACAGCCATCACCTATCAAATCAAAGTCCAGTTAACAGGGTTCCACGCTGGGAAGGAGAGTCACAGAGAAAGACATACCCAGATATGCGCGAACTTCGGATTCAGCGTTTCCTCACAATAGACATTGCCCTTTTGCGAAAGCACCGCGGCGATAGTCATGAGCACGCGCAAAAGACAATACTGGAAGACACCAACCCAGACAACCTGTTCAACAATTCCTGATTAGCCTCCCGTCGACAAGTCGCCATACACAATGCGACCGCAAGGCTAGGCAACCGGGTTCTCTTACGTTAAACCAGGTCAGCCCGCTCCGCGGCGTGCGCCAGATTCCATGCTCCCCGCCCCAGACTTTCTGTAGCCAGTTCATCGGCCAGACCCATGGCTTGGGCTCGATTCCGCGAAAATAATCCTTTTGACTATGGAGGTCCGGCGCGATGTAGTGGCAGAGAAGGGCGAAGAAGGCGGCGATCGTAAAAGCTTCGTAGCAGTCGCCGAGCACGCTGAAATAGACGCTTTTCTTGTAGTAATAGGTTCCGAGCCATGAGACGAGGGAGTAGACAGGGATCATGAGAAGAATGCGGATGACACTGGTATCGCCAGAGATTTGTTAGTCCAGCGCGACAATGGGCACAGGAAAGGAGTCGGCGATCGGATAACTGAAAGAAGAAAAGGAGAACTCACTGGCGTTGTTCTGTGGGTTTGCTGTAGTGAGTGGCATGGCACATAATCAAAAAGAATGAAATGCAGGCCCCGGTGAGAGCGAAAGCTCCTCCGGCAATCAAGCAGAGAGTGTGAAAAGTGAGGCCGCCATCCCACAATTCTACCTCATGAACTGCTCACAACGAAAGACCGGTCAGTCAGTCAAATTTATCCCGCGGGGAACGGACTTCGCAAAGAGCGGCGTACTGGTCTCATTTTCTACCGTCGAATTACACTGTGGCCAGCCCATTCTAGCGGCAAAGAGGGAGGCCGAAGATGGTGGTGACAGGCCTCAAGGAGAGTGGTGTTTAAGAGTTTTTGGGGGGGAAGGGAAAGATCGTCGGGACGCGGAATTAATGATTCAGATGGATGAAAAGGCAGCATATAACAAGAATAAAGGAATTAGATTCAATGGCGTTGGGGCGATCGCTATCTTATCCACTAGTCGAGTCTTGTCCCGGAGCGGATCAGCCCCTGGATCCAACGTTGTCTTTCCCTGGGTTCTTGGGTTCCTGGGACCTGGGTTCTTGAGTTCTTTAGGGAAATGGTGCTTTTTAGTTTGCCCCTGACGATTGGCGCTATTCTATTTTCCCACTGGCGTGAGCACTGAGTCGTCCTCAGGTTTAGGGTAGTTGCGTCAACCACCGGCTTGGCGACAAAGCAGAGGACATGGATGGATGAAAGACATACTTGAGACAGTTAAGGCAGGGCTGTGTTTGGAACTTTGGATCGGGTGAGACCAGCATCGATGGCTGAAATTAGAAACAAACGAAATGCAAAACGTGGCGGTGTTGATTGAAGAGGAGAAAAAGCATCCGGAGGCATTTGACGGGTGGACGGAAGCTGCTGCGCCTCAGGAACCACCTTTCAGCCCTAACAGAGGGACAGCAGGACGTTTATTCGACGACTCTCCATGCCACAGACAAGGCAAGAGAAAAGCCAAGCTTTGGACAAGACTTGACAAGCATTCTGCAGGAACTAACCAGGGTGTCAATCCTGTCTATCTTTTTTACCCTCAAAGGAACGTTCCCATTGCACGGAACTTCAGGTCATATAAGTACATCCATCCATCCCTTGTATCTTACTTACAGTTGCCTCGACATAATCCAGTTGTTGCTTTTTTAGTCTCTCAAATAAATTCCGTTTAAATCCCCAAGATACACCCGATCCGCCCTCATAGATCAAAGTAACCATGCCCAAACTGCAACCCCCCTTAGACTCTAAGTGTCGAATTCGAGGGAAAGGATGTAGATAGAAAAGAAAGAAAGGAAAAACCAAGAAAGAAAGATAAGAATACATGATAAAGGTACATCGACATAGAGATCAATGATATCGGCCGCGTCGATCATCTCTCCATGAATCGCCAAATCCACGACCTCGTCCCCGTCCGCGACCGCCTCGACCGCGACCACCTCGAGGGTTGAAGTCTGGACCGTGATCAACGAACAAATCTCCATCCTCGAAGGTGATGCGTCGAGGTTCATCGCCTCCGCGACGCGGAAATGAGCCCTTTCGAAGAAGATCGTCGAATCGGTCTAAACGGCGGTCGGCTACCGATCGCGGAACGGGGAGATAGTAGAGCTTAGGCTTGGTAGTTGTGGACATGAAAAGATCATCAAGCGGTTTGAAGCCCTGCCCAGGCCGAGGCTTGCTGTCGGCTTCGCTGTGACCGCTCGGACGTCGGCTGGGATCGCCCATCTCCGCTCGAGGTCCTGTAGGTGGAGGACGAGAGAATTCGGCCGGCTCGCGACCGCGTGGGGCTTGGGGTGCAGCGCTGCGAGGATCGATCTCCTCCAAGACTGCCTCGACACCGTCCTCCGTTCGGTCATACTTCACTTCCCACCGGGGTGGAGGGCCGCCGCGTCGTCGGGATCCTTCCTCCAGGTCGATCCATTCCTGCAGCTTGTTCTCCGGGATGAAATCGACAAAGAGAGTTTTGCGATTGCGTTCGTTGGGCCAAACGGTGTTGTGAAGTGCGGCACGAACTCGGGAAGCCGCAGAGACACTGACGAAGCTTACAAAGCAGTGCGTTTTGATGGAGTCGAGATAGAAATCCGTGATCATGTCGGGATCCTGGGAGCCCCCGGGAGGGGAGGCCAGGGTGAGTAGGTGACTTTTGAGGGCGTTCGGCTGGAGCGGGCGCATGAGACCATCCACATAAAGTGCTGAGGTGGCCGCATGCTTCGCCGGTTCGACCGTGTCGTCGTCCATTGCATCCTCCGGGGGAGGTGATGCCGCGCGAGGTTCGGGCTCCGGGGCGGCGAAAAGGCCTTTGAAGCGAACATCTTGTTTTGCCGGGGCATCTTTTTTCGTAGTTTCTTCGGGAACAGACTCGTTGGGCTTTTCGCCTTGAGCTTCATTTTGGACTGGTGAGGGTTTATGCTCGGGCTCTGCGTCGCCACTCTTATCGGCTGCCTCTTGCGCGGGAACATCTCCGTCCGGCTGGGCGCCCTCGTCGACATCCATCGAGTCCTTGTCTTCCGGTAGGGTAACTTTAGGTTCTTCATTTTCCGCCTTTGCCTTTTTGTGCGCCAGCGCTTCGGGGGTAGGAATGGGACTCTGGCTGCGGCGTTTGCGTTTGCGACGATCCTCTAGAACTTCCTCGGGAGCTAGAGGTGTAGACAAACCCGTGTTCGCCTCCGAGATCTGGGGGACGGCCGACGCGACAGCTTCTGTAGCCTTGGGCTGCTGTGTTTCTTCCTCTGCGGCTGGCTGCTGGGCATCGGTGCTCCCGGGAGCCTGCTCAACCGGGTGCGCCGAAGCTTCACGTTCATCTTCTTGAGGAGCTTGAGCTTCAGGAGCTTCAGGAGCTTGAGGCGGCTGCTCGGCGGTTCGATCGGCAGCTGGTAGCTCTTCGGGAGCTTTGTCCTCAGCTGGTGGCTCACCATTCTGTTGCTGTGCCTCCTCTGGTTGTACCTGTTCTTGAGGGGGTTCTTCAGGTTTGGGATCGTGGGACTCGGTCGTGTCGTTTGCTGTCGGCTCCGGTGCTTCTTGCTGTGGTTCGACCGGTTGCGCGTCCTCCTGAGGCGTATCTTGCGCGTCGACAGGCGCCTCACTCACGGGCTCACTCTCACCTTTCGCATCCTCCTCCAGCAGCCTATCAATGAAGTTCTGTTTAACTCTGAGGCCGGTCTGCGGAATGCCGCGCCGCTTCAGCTCGGCCTTCAAATCGGTCACCTTCCATTTCGAGTAGTCGGCCATTGTGAAGGTTAGTGCGCGCGATTGGGACGTGGGACCATGTAGGAAGAACGGGGTGTTGTATGGGGGTTTAAGCGGGGATCGAGTCGGTCATTGTTCGCGATGCGATGCCCCTGCGGTCGGACGAGCCCAAGTCTTTCCTCGACGGAAATGATGTAGTGCGCTAGACCGTCTGGAGTTAGCGTATCCACGATGTAGCCTGTTCTGGTTTAGTGTGTCATGGGAGGAACTTGTGTTAATAATCAGTCTGTATGCGGTTAGACCAGCCTAATCTGGTTAGGCTTCCATGTGCTGTTCCCTTTGCCTGGAGGGCCTTACACTGTCCATAACCCAAATATCTATCTTTTGTGCCCGGGGGCTTGCCAAAGCGTTCCTGAATGATTCGCCAGAACACAGCATGTGGTGACTGCAGAGAGTCAAGCAGATCTCGCTCTCGGGGGAGTAGATATTTGTATGATCTCCATAGTAGACTCTCCAGTCTTGATAACTCGATACATCTTATTGATCCTGTTTATCTTTCTGCATGTGTGAATTTTCAGGATGACCATTATGCAAACAAAGAACACGGTAAATCTCACAAAATCTGACATTATATATATAGTATCCCAGTTTGTCCATAGACATCAGGCGTGCGTCATTACTCTTCTGATTCCAAGGCTCAACGAAACACTATATCGACAGAAATGTCTCGAGACACTTGAATGCCTGCAAATTTGGACCAACATACAGTCCATACCTACACTCTATGAAGCAGAAATAATTTGCGCCGCCAACTCCGGCAACGAGTCCGCCGTAACATCCATCTCGCCAAAGATCTCCGAGCACGACTCCTTCTCCCAAGCCGTGCAATACGCACCTCGGAAACTGCCAGAAGGTTAGCCTTAGTATATCGAGACCACAAAGCCAAGCATGACAAGACAAGAACAAAAGAACTCACCCCGCAGTCTTCGCCGCCGAAACATCCCACATGTGCGCTGCCGCGAACCACAACACCTCAGACTGATCAAACCTCCTCATCACCTGCTGATATGCTTCCAACGCCGGCTTCGCCAACTGCCCCTTATCACACGACACGAAATTCTCCACAGGCATATCAATGCCACTGCTGAGAAAGTATCCCCTCACCCGACTCACATCCCCCGTCGTGAAGCACCACACGGTGAACCCCGCGTCCCGCAAGCTCTGGATTGCGTGATCCGCGCCTTCACGTGGCTGCAATTGGTGATAGCTCCTGATCAGAAATTCCTTATCTTCGTCCGACGCGAAAGACCGCGGATCAGGAATCCCGGCGAACCCGAGCGTGCGGTAGAAGATGGCACCGAAGATGGCGAGGAAGGGTTGGTAGCGATGCGACATAGATAGGTAAGCGTATTCGCGCTCTGCGGCTTCCATCCAGGCGTAGCCGAAGAGTTTGGGTTGGATGCAGTGCGCGTGGAGTCGCGATCCGAGGCGGGATTCGATGGCGGAGAAGAAGGCGTCGAATGTGAAGCACGTTCCTACGACGTCGAAAACGACGTGCTTGGCGGGAGGCATTTTGCAGGCGTGTTGAATGGTACTGATCATAGGACTTGTACCTGATGGGATGTAGATGCTGGGTAGTACTGTGTAGTAGGTTGAGCTTGTGCTGGGTGGTGCCCGCGCTATTTATCAGTAGTCGAACTGAACCCCGCATTTGAAGAGATGGCGATCTACTTAGAACAGTGTAAGAGACAACTAGAGCCATTCTGCAGGATGACAAAGTACAAGATTACCTACTATACAGCGTATATACAGCCTCTCAGATCGGCTTCAAGTACAACGAGAACCCATACCATCAAATGCCATCATCCAGAAAAGTCCGCCATCCATGGTCAGATAGTCAGATAAAGCCCTAGCATGCCCATTTTCACCATCAAACCAAGGTTCTCCCTATATACTCCGCACCAACAACCACTATCATTGTGACGAAGGGAAAAGACATGGTTCTCTCGTTCAAGTTCGTGACCCTCGACCTGCTTAATACTTTTTTCTATTAGTAAATGCTATGTGGGTCAGATAGTTTGAGAATACACTCGTCATTGCAATGTGCCCAGAGACAATATTTCATCATGCCCTCACCTGATTTAGAACTATTGTTGGAATGGCTCTAAGATCAATAGCCTTTTGATCGATGAGGATGATGATGATAGCAGAAGCTCCCCGCTGACTGTATGTTGTCCGGTCCATTGGGCACTGCGATACATGGGTATGAGGAGAAAAGAGAACATATATTCTGTTTGAGATGAAAAGAAAAGCTTGGAGGAATCATCCTAGGGCTTACTCAGGCATGCAGCCTACATATTGTGTCCTAGCCCTGGCTCACTACACTCATAGGTTAAGGAGATGAAACCGCTCTTAAGGATTCCATTACTTCACAGGTATGAATACAAACCATCGGCAGGGAATCTCACCATATGTTTTCTTTGATATCAGCAGAAAGTCAACAACAAACATAAGAAGCAGTTAGTGAACCATAGAACAAGATACATTCAAAGTGTATGCGAAGAGTGGAATTACGGAGATGAAATAAGCTACACATGACTTACCATATTTCTATCGACTTCCAAGATATGCTTCATTATCTCCAGAGATTTGGTTTGCCGTAGCTATTCCAGGTTGTATGTACTTGCCAAACTGACCTTCACTTCAACACCCTTTCCCTCCATCTCAAAAACTTGCTGCGTATGCTCATCTGAATGATTCCCTCCTTCCTTCATGTTATCGCGGTGATTTTTCTTTCTTGAAGAATGTAGACTGGTGCCTTCCGCAGTAGACCAAGTAAACACATATGCGCTCGAAAGGCCCTTCTTTCCCCCAGAATACACAGCCCTTTCTTCCCTCTTCCCTTATGACGCACTGTTACCATCAGAACCAAGATCTTACTATATGATTTGCTAGAAGTGGGCCACCAATACTTGAGAAATATGTTTACCATTGCGATGTGCTCAGTAGCAATATTTCTCTTTGTGGGATGGTTTTGGACAGCTTTGAGATCAATGATGATTATAGGCGAGGTCTCTGCGCCAACCGAATGATGTCTCATCCACTGTGATGCATCGGTGTGCGAAAAATAGATCGATGTCATGTTTGTATGGGAAATTGCTCAGCTGGCATTCAAGGATAAGGCAAATTGACCGAGAGAGTAATCTCTCCAACTCCCTAGGGAAGATATCTAGTGGGTGGTCATCTCTGAAACAGCTTTATCAGCAGTCTTCGGAAATAGATGAATCTTCTGACCCGTGGAAGACACTCGCGGCTAGCGATGATGTCCTGTCTATGAAACATTGGCTTAACAGGAGCAAAAAGGATTTATCTTCGAAAACTACTGTCCCTCAACCACTGCTGGACGTATTGAAGAGACCCCCAGATTGAACTCTTCTTCCCTGAGGTGCGACAAGAGGGTATGATAGTTACCACAATGTCATACCTTACTACAGGTCATAACATTCAACTCAGAAAGATGAATTGTGTAGAAGAAGGGCTGAGTATCTTAGCACATACATCAGGAAGACGGGACATATCGAATGGTAAGACTTGTTATCAAGAAGCCACCTCTTTGCGAATGCAGCCAACAGAAAAATACAGATCGACACTCACGAGAGCTGGTAACTCAAATGAATGGTCTACCTCTTGCATTAGCAGCAGCAGGCAGCTACTTGTCCCCAAACACTACCAGCTGCCATGGCTACCTCGAGCTTTATAGAAAAGAATGATATAGACTACAAGGAGAAGACCATCAACTACCGTCTTACAAAGGAACATTGGATTCGTGTTGGGCCGTTGCTTTCTGCAAGATGGCTGAAGTTCCAGACGTGTGGATAATTTTACGCCATTGGTCTGGACACGAGAGCCATGATGTCTGGCAGGAGCTTCTTGTCTTCCGGATGTTGACAGTGGCAAAAGACACAATTACCTTCAACAGGGTCATGAAGGTGCTCTGTAGTTATGGCATAGTGGAGATTGGCCCGGATCTAGGAATTGACGGCATTGGCTCTCGCGGATACAATATACACAAGTCCGCTCACGCCTGGTTAGTGCATCATGCTACTGGCCTTTCTTTTTCCGATATGGCCATCAAGGCCGTACAATGCTTTGGGCACAAGACTATACAAAGTGGTCCATATTTTCAAGGCCTGCTTTGTCTTCTTCCTCATGCAAACCGATGCTTTGATCATGCCTTCACCCACAATACATACCACTTCCAGGACATGTCCCTACTACCCATGGACTTACTCGATCTGTCGGGACTTGCAAGGGTATTTTTATACGCAAGCTTCGGCAAGAACCCAGGATACAGTCCATTCCTAGGGATCATGCACTTAGAACGTCCCGGAAAAGTACATTCACAGAAGGCAGAAGAGCTCTTATTGCACATCCTTCGCAAATTTGAAGACATCGAGCTATCCGAACAGATTAACCTAACTGTGGACAGTACAGTCAATCGCATTCTTGCTTCAAGAAAATTTGGTGTTCTCCAATGCTTGCAAATATTATGTGCGCATACGGATGAGTTTGAAAAGAGACAAGACATAACATGAAAAATACTAAAGCTCCACCGTTCGAGAAATGAGCACCGGGAAGCCCGGGCGATGCGAGTACACATTTTCACTAACCACGTCCTCCGATTTATAATGTGTTACGGCCAATACATTCTTTTACTCCTGTGAGTCAAAGTATTTTTTCATATCGTAAAAGAATGGCTGAGGGAAGGCTCGATCAAAATTTGGGTCGATCTTGCGGCCTCCGCCATCATCGGATAATTTTGGAAAGCTTCTTTGGCCGGATGGGGAGACCGACGAAGGAACCTCATCCTGTTTTACCTTTCTTTCACAATATCCGAGGTTCAAATGTGGTCAACCGGTACACATTGCTCTTCCACTTTATTTTGGGTTTGGCCTTTTCTGCAGGTATCTGTGACTATTCCTATTATCTATTACGAGATCATCACTTAGGTAGAAGATATCGGCTCGAAGACACCGGGGCCAGGCCATTCGCATTGCGCCACTGCTATTCTCACACAAGGCCATGCCTGACGAGACTCTGAGGGTTCATATTACTTCATAGATTTCTTAGCAGAGGTGTGTGATTAGGGTTTCGTTATAGTACAAAGAAACAGAGGCCGTTAATTAGAGCGAGGAATCAATCTGCAGACTGTCTGCCTCAGGCTGTCAGGCATCCGGGACATGTCGCAGCCCATGTCGGTTATAAAGGTCTACAGGTATCCTTTTTCGGATTTTCCAGCTGGTCCAACAGTCCCATCGAGACTACTTTGACGGTCATTATTCTTTTGCTCGAGAAGTTTGATACCTTTCCCGGAACTATTCTTCTACATTGAAAGTGGGTCCTCTTGTCATATTTATGTAGGTAGGTATACAACGAACGTGAGATGTAATGGAGTACTGATATTAGTACTTAGAATCGCACTGATTTAGTGGGTAAAGACTGATGTAAATTCCCTGGGCCCAATTTAACGCCAGAAAAGTCATTCAGTCGTGACCGATAATGCTTAGTCGAAAGACGAATGCCGCCTCGCGAGTGGTCAATTTGAGAGCAATGTTTCTCGTATAGTTACTCCGCATCAACGGACAATGACTCAACGCTTCGCTATAAAGACATTGTGATTTCAATCTCCCTCTACCTACTCATACAATCTTCTTTTTTACTCTGTTGCGTACGCTTCCTGTCGAATCAATTTCTAGTTACCTAAATCGCCATGTCCTCCCAAAACGAGCGCGCCATCTACTTCCGCAGCCTGCACACCCCAGGCAACCCGATCGTGCTCAGCAACGTCTACGACGGCGCCACAGCCTCATACATCGCCTCGCACGCATCCACAAAAGCCGTCGCGACGGCCAGCTTCGCCGTGGCCGCCTCGCACGGCGTCGCGGACGAGGCCCTCACGCTCTCGCAGAACTTGGCCTCCGCGCGCGTCATCGCCGCCGTCGTGGCCGCTACATCGCCGCATCTGCCCCTGACCGTGGACGCGCAGGACGGGTACGACGACGTCGCGCACACCATCCGGGAACTGATCGCGCTGGGCGCGGTGGGCTGTAACATCGAAGATGTCGACAACGCGACGGGCGCGCTGCGCTCGCTGCCCGACGCCGTGAGTCGCATCCGCGCGGCGGTCCAGGCTGCCAGCGACGCTGGGGTGCCGGATTTCGTGATCAATGCGCGGACGGACGTGCTGGGGCCCGCGGGGACGGGGAAGGTCGAGGATGCGATCGAGCGGGGCCGGGCGTTCCTGGCCGCGGGCGCGTGTACGGTATTTGTGTGGGGAGGACCCGGGGGAAGGGGGGTGTCGGGCGCCGAGGTTGCGGCGTTGGTGGCGGCATTGGGGGGCCGGGTTAACGTGAAGCTGGGCCTGGGGGAGGGCTACTTGACGGCGCCGGAGTTGAAACGCATCGGCGTGGCGAGGATCAGTCTGGGGCCGGAGTTGTGGCGGGCAGCGATGGGAGCGTTTCGGGAGACGGCGGATCGGTTGTTGGCCGGGATTGCGTATGATTGATCTGATCTAGATTGTGGTTATTATTATTGTGCATGTTTACTCCGTAGTATAACGGAGTACCGTACTTTAGCAATCATTTTGATATGAATCAGCAGATAACAAATGGTGTGATCCACGCGGGGAAGGATTCTAGTCTCAGCCAAGATCACCACGTCATGCTTGTTTACACATCTGTTCCCATCCTTTTGAGACAAAAAATCTCAAGACCCGACCCAGAATGAAAGGAATCGCCGAATCCACCTTTCAACCTATTTCCCCGTCCGAGATGGACTCCCAGCCTCGCCCGCTGCTGCCCGTCGAGAAACCTACTCGGCCTTTCTGGCGCACCGAGCTACACGAACTGGACGAGCTGCGAACAACGCCGGATCTGCCTGAACAGAGCGAGATCGTGATTATCGGGGCCGGCTACGCGGGCGTGACCCTGGCGTACTATCTCTCTAAGCTGCTAGGCGAGCACAATCCCCCGTATCCGGCCATCACCATCCTCGAGGCCCGGCAGATATGCGCCGGCGCAACAGGCCGGAATGGTAAGTGCTCGTGCAATCGGTGCACAGTTCGACCTTCCTAACGATGAATATCTAGGTGGTCATCTACGACCGGACCTGTACGGACATATCCCGACGCATCTGGAGCGACACGGTGCGGAGGCTGCGGCCGAGGTTGCCAACTTCGAAATCGATCACATCAAAGCGCTGAAGGACCTCCTGGTTGAAGAGAACATCGATTGCGACTTGAACATCACTCGGAATATGAACGTCTATTCGACCGAGGCCGCGGGGACGAAGGCGAAAAGCACGGTTGACCTTCTCGCATCCCACGGGCTGAAGTTTGTCGATGATATTCATTACACGTCGGAAAAGAACGCCGAAGGGGTAAGTAGAAGCCCATGATTGTTTGAGAGTGTTTAAACAGTAACCTGACCGCACCAAGGTATCTGGCGTCAAAGGAGCCAAGGCGTGTCTTTCCTACACGGCGGGCACGCTGTGGCCGTACAAGTTCGTATTGGGATTGCTGTCCAAGATCGCCGATTCCCCGGCTGTCAACGTGCAAACGCACACACCCGTAACCTCTGTCGAACAAGACGGTTCCGGACACACTGTGCGCACCCCGCGAGGATCGATCCACGCCAGCAAGGTGGTCTACACCTCCAACGCGTACACTGCCGGCCTACTGCCTGAATACTCGGCCAGCATCATCCCGTGCCGCGGGATCTGCTGCCATATCGCGCTCCCCGAGGGCAAGGAGGCGCCATTCCTTCCTTACTCGTATATTCTCAATATTGCCGACGGGGGGTTCGACAGCTACCTTACCACTCGACCCGACGGAAGCATCGTCGTCGGAGGTGCAGGACACACCTTCCAGCGCGACAAAAGGGAATGGTACAATATGATCGATGACAGCACGCTCATCGAGCCGACCAAGCATTACTACGATGATTACATGCAGCGGACTTTTAGAGGATGGCAGGACAGTGGGGCCTGTGTGAAGGAGATTTGGACGGGGAGTAAGTCGAGACGCGATCAGGCTGAGATAACCATGGCAGTCAAGCTGACGAAAGATAGTTATGGGATATTCCACCGACAGCTGCCCTCATGTTGGCGAGGTCCCGGGCCGACAGGGACAGTATATCTGCGCCGGGTTCAACGGACATGGCATGCCGGTGGTTCTGCTGTCGGCCAAGCGACTGGCCGAGATTATTGAAACAGGGAAAAGCTACGAGGAGGTTCGACTTCCTCGGCTGTTCAAGACAACTGCGGAGAGGTTGCAGAGGGCACGAGAGGGGACGGAGGGAGGGGATATCCTGCATCCTCGGGATTGAGGTCATTGTACGGAGTACATAGTGCATACACACACCGAATACACGAGTATTTACGGAGTCAACAGCCAGAATGCCGATGACGATGACTGTTTCGGAATAAAAGTAGTCAAACCAAGCAAATCAAGCAAACCAAGCAAACGCCAGCCTGCAGAATCAGGCACGCCGACGTCGGCCTGGCAGAGGATCGGCGGCTTCTGATTGGCGCGTCATGACGAATTCGCCAGGGTGGGTCACCGCCTGCGATTTTCGGACTTCTGCCAAAGCTGCACAGTCATCGGCCTCCACAGTTTCTTGTTTCTTCCCTCTTTCTTCTCCTCTGAGTCTCTGAGTCATGGCATTTCATTAAATTCATCCCCTTTCCTCCTTTTCTTTTCTCTTCTTCGCTTTCGTATCCTATCATCTGTCATTGCAATTTATTCAACTGTCCATCTCAATCTCGAATGGCTTCTCATTCCAACGGCGCTGCGGCGCAACTCCGTCAGTATCCCCCCCTTCTTGCCCCGTGCCCCGTCCCCCCGTGCCCCGCATGCCCGGTGAACGGCTACTAAATCCCGTAGAGAGAGTCGAATCGCAACCTGAAAACCCCTACTCAGCTCTCATCACCGACCAGAGCTATGTCGTTGTCCCTTCCTTCACCCTGGAATCCGGCGTGACTCTTCACAATGTCCCCGTGGCGTACACGACGCGCGGCCAATTGTCCCCCGAGGCCGACAACGCCTTGGTCATTTGTCATGCCTTGAGTGGCAGCGCGGATGTGGCGGACTGGTGGGGCCCCCTGCTGGGAGGTCCCGGACAGGCCTTTGATACTTCTCGCTTTTTCGTGATCTGTTTGAACAGCCTGGGCAGTCCCTACGGAAGTGCGAGTGCCGTGACGTACAAGGATGGAAAACCCGAAAATGGACTCTACGGGCCGGAGTTCCCTCTCACGACTGTCCGGGACGATGTAAAGTATGTTTTTCCATTGTCAATCCCGGTCGCGTTGCAGAGCTAACCTGGATAGGATTCACAAAATTGTCCTGGATTACTTGGGTATCCGCCAGATCGCTGCCGTGGTCGGTGGCTCCATGGGTGGCATGCTTACTCTTGAGTATGCCTTCTTTGGCAAAGGCTACGTGCGGGCGATTGTGCCCATCGCGACGTCGCCGCGCCACTCGGCATGGTGCATTAGCTGGGGTGAGGCTCAGCGACAGAGCATCTACAGCGACCCGAAGTACGAGGATGGCTACTATTCGCTCGAGGATCCTCCGATTACCGGCCTGGGTGCCGCCCGGATGTCGGCCCTTCTCACCTACCGCAGTCGGAACTCGTTCGAGTCCCGGTTCGGCCGAAATGTGCCGGATCCTTCTAAGCGCCAGAACATCAACGGCACCGTGAGACAACCCAGCCCGCCCAACGAGCACTGGGCCATCCACAACGATGGACACAAGAGCGGTCGGACCACTCCGAGTGAATCCAACACGCCGGCGACCGCGGCGCAACCCACCGAGATCGAATTCATGGACCCGCAGTTCTCGGGCACTAAGACTTTCAGCAAGTCCCTGGACACCAACACCGACGCTAAGCGCCAGAGACGTCCGCCGACCTACTTCTCGGCCCAGTCGTACCTTCGGTACCAGGGTGAGAAGTTCGTCAAGCGATTTGATGCGAACTGCTACATTGCGGTGACCCGCAAGCTCGACACGCATGACGTGTCTCGACACCGGGCCAGTCCTACGTCGGCGGACCCGGTGAAGGAGGCGCTGTCGCAGATTCAACAGCCAGTCTTGGTCTTGGGAATTGAAAGTGACGGACTCTTCACCTTTGAGGAACAGCAGCAGATTGCCGCAGGCATTCCCGATTCGCGCCTCAAGCGAATTGAGAGTCCCGAAGGCCACGACGCATTCCTTCTCCAGTTTGAGCAGGTCAACCATTACATTCTGGAATTCTTCCGGGAGGTTCTGCCTGACATCATGGCCAAGGCTCCGGCCGACGGGGTGCAAGCGGCGGACCGAGTGAACACGCTAACAAAGAGCAGCACATTCGGCGAGGCTGAGGTGGAAGACATCACCGCCTGGTAAATCCGATCGAGCATACTCGACCAACGCTTGGCGCATTCGTTGCAGCCTTGATTCTACGACCTGATGCTCTGCGGAGTACACGCAGCGGCTCGTCGGGCCGTCTCTCCCCGCGTCGCTCCGCGAGCATCACTAAAACCTTTGGGGAAGTAGCGGTGCAGAACCTTTGTGATTTTACTATTCTAAGCCAGTCCAGAGAGAAGAGCATCCAACTGCCTCTCTCGTCACCTCATTCAACCGGTAAGGCTGTAAAAGAAGCATCCAACTGCTCTCCATCAGATAAGCCCTCCACTGCAGCGCTCTTCTATCAACCAGAAATCCTCAGAGGGGGTGGTGGGCAACCATTTCTTCTAAACAGAAATGATCTTTTCCTCTTCAACAGTATAGATAGATATTAGCGATAGTCTTAAAAAGATTCGATCTTGGAATATTGCAGTGTGCATGTATTGTACTGGAGTGCGCCTGGCCAGCGTTCTTTCCAGTTGATAGTCTCTTGCCATTTACTGAGCGAATCAACGGCTCAACTGTTTGGTTGATCCAGTTCTAGACCACCTTACCTTAAAAGGACCGGCCATTCCAATGGATATAAAGTACCACCGCGACCGCTAATTTCGACATCCCGGTGGAAAAAAAGCAGTGAAACCCACCGCCACCCACACCCTTACGGCTAAACTTTGCTAGGTGCATGAACTAACGTAGCTTGGTAGGGCCGTCCAAGTCTCCGAGCGCACAAAAGTGTATTAATTGACTCCATCCTGCAGTGTAGACGCATAGACACGGCGAGAAGGAGAGCAGGACTTGCTCGGAAGAAAGAAAGGGCCAGAAAAGGGGGCAGTTATTAGATCACCCTGCAGGAATCGGGCTCGAAGGTGAGGGGATACGGATGCAGGAAAGCGACAATCCCTGAGAGGTCAGATTGAGATACTATGCAGCGTGGCTGCATAACTGTGTCGTGTGATGTGGATGCCCTCGTCAACTCCCTGACTGGCCGTCGGGATGCCGCTATGTAACACGGGAGGAGAATAAATCCTTGAAATTTGCAACGCTTCTGCTGCGTACCTGGTCTGGTCGAGGTGATATCACGCGCTTTTTGCAGTGCTCTTTTCCCTCGTCGATTATATATGAGTTGCGAAGCGTCCATGACGTCGAAGGCGTCCTTACTGGCGAGTAAGACGAGTCGATCTTTTTATCCCCCGCATGGCTAGCCCTAATCGAACTACCCCGGAAAGCAGGGAGTCAACCGGTGGGTGATCGGTGATCTGATCTATCACGTCGGGCATCACTCTGCCAACCGCTTTCCATCCCTTGATTCATCCCTGTCCCCTCTGGTTGTCTCTGTTTGTCCCCTTGCGATCAGGTCAGACAATTTGAAACTTAGAGCCAAAATGCTGGGTGGGAAGAGGCTGTAACAGCCGCGAGGGTTTTAAAATCTGGCAGTGGGCAGGGTGTGTACATATGGAGAATTGGAGTCTTGACTGACAATTTGACCCTGGCTGGGGATCACCAGACTGACCGTTGATCCACGATCATCGTTGCCATGAACGGCGTTTCCACCGGCTGAAAACGGTAATCCGATCCTCATCCGTCGTTGTTATCTTGTTGGTCTTGTCCAGTGCGGACCAGTGCAGGGAAAAACGAAGCAAATTAGCAAACTCTCCGGTGCCTGGAAGTTCTGGCCGTCAATAACCTGCAGTATCCCGTGACGCCGTGTGACTTTCTCTCTGTGTCTCTTCCTGTTTTCCTTTTCGTTTTTTTTCTTTTTTTCCCCTTCCCCTGCTGGTCTGCCATTCGCGCCCCTATTCACACTTCTCCATCAACGTCGCTCGTTTGGCTCCACCACCCATTCATGCACTGACTGTGATTCACTCTCTCCACTGGGCCGCCACAGCTGCATCTCATCGTCTCTTTTCCTCTGTGTGTCTCTCCTTACGATACGAGCCGGATTCTCGTCCGCCCCTGGGAGATGCATCTGTCGCATTCGACTGCTCATTGATGACGGTCCTGCTGCCTCTTCTTGAATGCCTCCTTCGTCACCGACCAAGTTGGGTCATCTTTCTCTGGCGACATTCCTTGTTTTGGCCTCGATCATTCCATCGTCATTCTCGATTTAAGCCTCCCCCACATTCCAGGCCATTGCTCCGGTCACCCCAAGCTGTGACAGTCAAAACAACCCACATTCTGTCGACCCTTCTTTCGGCTTTCCTCCTGTCTCTCATTGTATCCTGCCTGTTGGAACTGGCTTCCTGACAGCTATAGATTCTAAATTGCGTTGCATTGTTCGTCTGAAACCAACATATGCCAGAAGCATACCTGAAGTTGGCCGGACAGAGATCGAGTGTGACACGTTCATTATTTGGATCCGGATCCCATTGATCGCCACTCCCATTGGGAAGCCCATCTTTCTCTCTTTCACACCCTCACTTCAATCTCCCAAGTGTCTCCGTCAGACGTCATGGAGCTGCTTCTTTCCAAGAAAACTTCGACTTTGAGGAAGCGGGCATCCCTGTCATTTTTATTCCATTCACAGGTGAGAAAGATTCGCGATGCCACTGTTTGAACCCGTGAGGATTAACAAGGGTAGAAACCCACTTTCGCGATCCTGCAAGAAGGACCGCCTCGCTACTATGACTTTGTTGATACCCCCGTTCTCTTCCGTCCGTCTTCCGCATTCATTGATCGTCAAAAGATCTCTCGTGAGCTGGAGGCAGATATTCGATCTGCCTGCTCATTGCTTGTATATCGCGTTGAGCGAGGTGTGCCCTCGCGGGCCACCAAGCAAATGAGTTCGCTCCCAGAGAAGAGCACAGTTACGTCGGCCGATAAATCGTTTGCGACCAAGCCGCAGATTGAATGCAAATATTCAGGCCCTAATGTCGGCCCCGAGGCAGCGGCCTTGGCCGGGATCCATGATTCAGGCGTCGGGTTGACACAGCAGCCCAGTCGACAGACGATGCGGGTGCTGAAGTCCTCGCAATCCGACAAACCATCAGGCTTAGGGGCGGGATTAAACCCACCTGCCGGCCAGGAACGATGCACCACGTCGTGTTCCGCGCCTGCAGATCCGGTATCCTCGGAGAGAAGGAGCAGCCACCCGTCTGTCAGCAGTCCCAAGCAACCAGAGATGCAATCCATGGCCGGGGTGGCGGCCATCGGTCACCCCCAGGCACCACCAGACCAGGATACGAGGAACTTTCTCGCCGACGACAGCAAATCGCCCTCCCTCGACACTGTCGACAATGGCGCCGATGACGTCGAAGTGTTCCTCAACCCGGACGCGACGCTCATGGCCACCGGCGTGGCCAGCTTTTCGTCCCCCGAGACCTTGCTGAATCTCTCCTCGCCAGATGCGCGGGCATTAGACAACCAACCCAGCCGCTGGTCTCACTCCGCCGGCTCGTGCACCACGCAGGCAGATCCAACGCAAATGATTGGACTCGGCACAACCGCCGTCCCAGACCCCGAACAGCAAGCCGGCATCATCATCGACAGTAACGGATACATGCACGTGATGAGTGCCGAGGAGGAATCCCAGCGTAACATGCACCTGCAGCAAGCGGTCATGGCCAAGATGCAGTCAGGCACAGGGCTCGACCAGACCCGAAGCACTGAGCCCGAGTCCGCAGCCAAACGACCCGACACGTCGACTCAACGGCCACAGTCTCGATTGCATTCCGCGTGGTCTGCCAAGACCAAGAGCACCATATCTAAATGGCGAAGCCGATTCGACGAGCCCCAGTTCGAGAAACCCGCTGGAACGGGCTTCTTCCAGAAGATCGCGACTTTCTTTGGGAAGCGGCGCGCTCAAGCTGTTTAGTCTGCTTGTATCAGCCGTACCTCTTGTTCCATTCCCATGACTTGTACACTTGAACCTTACCTACGACATCTCATTTCTGCAATAACTACGGATCAGTGGACCAGACGTGTCTGGCTCATGTCACTTTGAACCTCACAGCATCCACCATCTAGACGCGGGACTCGTCTCTTACCAGCGAGTAATAGGCTACCAGCCCACGGGTATTAACCCACATCGACGTGACCAGATATTCATATTGATGACCTTTTGTGCTTATTTCTTGATATTTATACCTTACTTTCTCACACCCTTCTATGAGTCCCATGTTTCCTGTATTAGACTTCGGTGTTAGGTAGCGTTAGCTGTGCTAATATGATCTTTTCTTTTTAACACTTGTATCTGCTTCTCCCAAACCCATCGCATCCCTATCCGGCCACTTTCCCGAGCGCTGGCAGACCCCATCTCCGCATCCATTCCGACCCAAGCACTTCCGCTGCCGTGGGCCGTCCATCCGGCCTAAAAGCCAGCATCCCCCTTACCATAGCAAGAAAGGCGCTCTTCTCGTCTTCCCCTATGCCCTCCATTGCGCTCCCCAGCCGCGGGTTCTGTATAGAACCCACGAAGCGAGTACCCAACGGTCTGCCTGCTCCTGCAGCCTTTCTCTTCACCTCCTCCGTAAACCATCTTTCTCGCGAATCCCATGCCCAGCACCACTCGCACGGCAACTTGCCCAGAGCATCTACATGCTCTTTATTCATCTAGTCATCGGACGGATTGAATCCCTCAAACAGTGGTCTTTGTCCCAGTATTTCCCAAATTGTACACGCCAGAGACCATATATCAGAGGGAAAGGACAATGGTTCATGAAAGTAGGTCTCCGGAGGGGCTAGGACAGCTGGTGTGTGGGAATTGAGACGCTCAGTAGTTGTAGTAGTAGTAGTAGTAGTAGACGGCCGAAACGATTCTCCAAAATCCGTGACGAGTACCCGAGCTTCGGGGAGAGTTACAAGCTCGCTTTCTTTCCCCAGCCAGATGGGCACCACGCCGTGAGGAGGGACACTATTGGAGAGCGGCTTGCCGTCTAGACGCACAAATGGCTCGAAATTGGGTGGGCCGTACCTTTGGTATATCTCTGGAGGGGAGAGCTCGTTGATGCTTTTTGATAAGCGGAACATGATGTTTCCTGTGTGGGGATCTATGAATCATAATCGTTAATAGAGGGCACACTTCTGAAGCCGGCGAGATTAAGATCCCCATGATGGGTATACATACCAGCGTGAACAACCCCTTGACGATGTAGAAAAGCGACCGCTTGTATGAGTTGGGCCGCAATCGCCCGGGCCACAGGAATTGTGAAAAGCCTGGTATACGAAGCATCTTTCGCCTCTGCCAGAGACATCATTCCCGGCTCTGTCACTAGACATGTGTGGTTTCCATTCGGCCCATCAAGGGTGAACGTATCCAACACTCGAGGGATCAGCTGTCCCTCGTCGTTTGGTTCCGAGAGTGCTGGTGCTAGGGTATCGAGGATGTTACGCTCCGGCGAATCTGCCTCGGCAATAACAATTTTGATGGCGACGTATTTCTCCAGATTGGTATCTCCTGCTAACCAGGTTGTTGAGTACGTGCGAAAGCCAAGCTTATGAACCACGTCATATCGGCCGTTTAGACGGTCACCGATAGATAAGTAAGGGGTGATATCTTCCCGGGCGATAACGCTCGGGCTTTTCGATGTCCTCGAAAGGCATGTATTCCACAATTGGAGCACATGCTTTGAGGATGCGTAGGAAGCGATAGAGAATTTACGATGATGAGTAGTGACAATATTTCTTCCATGGGCTGGTGACATTAGGCGTGAAAACCTAATAAGATGCGGCGCAGTGACAAATGAAAGCCACGAATCATACAAAATTGCCTGCCTTCGAAGATGGAAGAAAAACATGGCCATGACAAACCACCGATGATATACCAAGGAGGCAGGCAGAGAGGTGTGGGAGAACTTCACAAGGGGGTAGGGATCTGGGGTAGGCAAGGAATGGAAGACCCCACTTGTTCTTGGTTTACTGGAACTACGCACACTTCTCTCATACAAGCAGCAACACTCGAGTCCGCAACACAGGCCATCGAGTGAATGGCTATGACTCAGGCTAAGTATTTACGAGTACGGACCGTCTAGGACCACCAACTTGAACCTGCGTTAGAAGCTCATGCTGAGAAAACAATCAAATTTGGGAATAGGGTTACCAATGCGTCAATTTTCCGGTGACTTCTAGTTACAGGTATACTCCCCTACTTTGCTTCAGTTAACGTCTCCTCATTTTCTCGTGTCCTCTGCTTGCATAATTCATATGCCACTGTACAGCTTTGATCGGCGTTTACTCCGCCTGTGCTTTTGTGTCGAAGGGTAGCCCTCAGCGTGAAACGCAGTCGAAACGGGTAATCCGAGACGGACGGCGAGTCTGGACGCAGCAGGCGACAACTAGAACACCAGTCAAACGGCAAGAAACTGGGTTTCAGTGTGTCTGGGTTCGGGAGATTCAGATACAGATCCTCGACAAGCTGAATCCGAAAGCCATCTGCACTTAACGTGTCTCTCTCCGTATCGGCCGCCTGCCTCACACACGATTGAATGAGATCTGTGTATTCTTTGAATGATCCCGATTCGGTCTTACAGCTCACTGATCGCAAGAGCCTGGCATTTTCCACTCCGATCCCGACCAGGAAAACGGGGAGGTTTTCGAACCGTTCGAATGAGAACCTATTCTCTGTGTAGAATGTCTGCCGGGCTTCGTGATAGATTTGCCGGTTTACGGACATAATGGCCAAGAGATTGTTGTGGGGATTATGTTGCCACCAGAGTCCATCTCGACGACGTCCGATATCTGAATGCTCCAGATATTTTCCTGAAAAATGTACTTCATCGAAACAGAGAAGATTTCTATAAACCATGACTCGCAACTCTGGGTTCAAACAATATGTTCAGGTTAGTCAGGCGCTCCCAATCGGAACAGACAGAAAAAAGAGACAACATACCAGATGGGAGATCAAGAAGCGGAAACGGATCATCGGAAAGAAGAACCTTGTCCTCGTCGAAAGGAAGGACCCATCGGCGACCACTCTTACTGCCTTTGCCTCTTACCTTCAATGAAGATTCGAGATCCGGATCAAATCCGCAGTGTCCACGATACCAAACATGCTCTGTAAACCGCCGACGCGAGGTGAGGATCTCGCAACATGTCCAGCATCTATATCTGTGATCTTGATCCGGCTGGTGTTTCTCACCATGAAGACCGCGAATTGCCTGCTTAATCTTGAAGACCTCGTGGTATCCATCGGCCGGAAGCCGCAAACTGCCAGTGTACTCCAACAGGTGTTTTTCGAGTCCGGTTTTGTTGGCGTATTTCTTCGGACAGAACGGACATTTCTGTGCAGACCAGGGCATCTTGTTCTAGGCTTGACTAAATGATAGTAGGGTAGATCGTCGTAAGGGGGTAGGCAACTGAAATGACTAAACTGGCTAGCTTAATTGACTTGATCATGATTGAACAGGGCGAAGAAGGCTATAGTTATGTTGACCGAAGTGGTCCATTTCACGGAGTATTCCGCTCGATTCATGGATTATTCCTCTTCATATACCTTGAAATCTCAGCTATACCGATGCCCGACAGATGAGCCCGGAATGAATAATTGGCATGCGAAACGTGACGGAGGCAATCAAATTATCGAGCTTGCCCTGCGCGGGACTTGCAGGCAAGAACAAGCTGTCAGGCTGCACTGCCTGGTGCCTTCGACCCGATACCACGTGACGGTATGCGGTCTAGGCTGCCGAGTCAACGCACCCTTCTGGCGTGAATGTAGCCTAGTCTATGAGTCTCGAGAATGAGATCTTCACAGACCCTGATCTTTCACAACGGTTCCTTTTCATGGTGGATCAAAATTAAGGTAGCTTGGTCTTTACCGGAGTCCATTCGGAAATTGGGCTATGTCAAACGTCGGTCCATGTTTTCGGGAGTTTATCAAGGCTATTGAATTTGCAGAATTAGCTCTGCTGGACGATACTGTGACACTCATCAGTCTCACCTTGGCTGAGCAAAGCAACAAGCCGCTCCCGATTCGGAATGTCCCGAGTAACGATCAGACGGAGGCAAACCATTATTTCTCAGTTGCCCATCAAGTGTTCTTCCAGATTGAAGAAGATCCAAGGAGAACCATATACCCGATTCTAGACCAAGCTCAGGATCTACCTACCTTCGAGGCTAGCCATCTACAAGACGAGGAGGATATCGCCGCAACTGTCTCCACAGTCTACTTCAAGCAGAAGCAACTCGCGTATAAGAAAATCGACCGTCCTATCTATGAACCGGGAGACACGGAACATATCTTGAACGAGATAACCGCCCTCGAACAATTTCGCGGACGCTCGAACGTCGCACAACTCATCGGGCTGGTTATATCCGATAATCCGTACAAGACCCGTCCAGCAACAACCTCGTCGCCGGTCATCACAGGTTTTCTCCTTGAATACTATCCCGGAGGATCTCTGGAGCAAGTCCTTGCTGAGACTCAGGATCAAGATGATTCGCTACTGAGACGATGGGCACTACAGATTGGGAGAGCATTGCAGACATTGCATGTACAGCGACGGACCCATCTTGACATTAAACCCTCGAATATCGTGTTCGACGCCAACCAAAATGCGATTCTGATCGACATCAGTGGAACTAGTGGGTATGGATGGGAATGGCTCGCGCCAGAGATGCAACAGATCATTGAGCGGGACGCTGAAACGGCTCCAGCTAGCACGGCATTTGACAAACGCGTCGCTACGGACTGCTGGGCTTACGGAAAGATACTTTCGACTATGGCCACGAGACTCGGCACCAATGGTTTAGGTAAAAGGATAAAGTCTATCAGCGATGCCCTGACAACGACAGATCCAAAAGCTCGCGTTTCATCAAGCCACGCTCTCGATATGCTAAGGGTTTAAAAGTAAGAGTGTTGGTCAGTTATTCTCATGATAGTGTTTGGAAGGTATGCCTTGTCTCCCTAAACTAGTCTGAATCTAATAGTTTACGATATTAAGAGCCCCGACAGACTTAAAGTAAAAGCGAAATCAGCGAGGCGAAGCTATACAAATAGCCAGCCTTTTTCACTGTTCCAGGGTTGATAGGTCATAGATGTACCTGGGGTTAATCGGTATTACCTCGCCGACTAGCTGTAGTGCGAACCAGCATGGGTCTACTAGTGGATCGACGGCCTAATTGTCGAGTACACACTGTCGAGTGGTCTATGCAAAGTTCGTAGTTTTTTTTTTTTTTTTTTTTTTTTTTGTAAATTAATACAAGGCCTCTGCACCGTGCCTTCGACGCGGTGGGTGCAAGCGCTTTACTCAAATAACATATATTGGGTATCTGAGACCCCTATAAGCAGCAGGTTATTAAAGTATTATAAAATAAGATTTGAAGTGTAGTATACTTTCTTAATACTAAAATAACGTTTTCTAGCAGTTTCTTTTCTTGCCTTTACCCTTGCCAGTTGCCGAAGCTGGGCCTTTATCAGCTAGTATATTAGACTATTACGATAGGTAGTTGCTCTATACGCTGTAGTATAATCATTTCATGTACGTAATATTTGTGAATATGGTATATAGGGGTTCTAGAAGCTTAATCGCTAGAATACGGACTTTATCAAGTCAAAAGAAAGCCTCTAGATAGATTAAATAGAGTGTACTATAAAGCTGATATGGTAGTAAGAAAACTACGGTAAAGATCTTTATCGGGGAACCTATACCTACTATTGTAGCATGCCATAATCAAGAAAACTGTGCAAAGGGGTCTACTGTGTACCGTGTTAAGCACAGCTTGCCTTTGTATTCTTTTAGATTGCCGGGTCCTCCTGGATATATGCCTTCGGCTATATGCGAACAAAAGTGGATCCTGGATCGCCTCTTGGGTACTGCGTCATAGAGAACAGAACAGCTTTTAAAAGACCTCTCAATGAACGGAATGATTCAATTTTCAGGAAATAATTCAAAGTCTCTCTCTACCTCCACATTTCTTTCTCCAGTGCACTTGCCAACGACCATAAATCATGACAATCAAAGTATTCCTCACCGGCGCCACCGGCTACATCGGCGGCGATGCCTTGTACCAAATACATCAGCGATATCCGGATTTCGATTACGCACTTCTTGTCCGCTCAGGAGGCAAGGCGAAGGAAGTCCTATCAGCGTATCCAAAAGCTAGAATTGTCCTCGGCGGTAATGACGATTCTGAGCTACTAGAACGTGAAGCTGCCTGGGCTGATATTGTCATTCGTGCGTAACCCGCATCCGCTTCTTTGATTTTATCCCTATAATTGAACTTGCAGGGGTGCTGATTATACTTCAGATACTGCCGACTCATCAGACCACGCCGGTGCGGCGACGGCGATAGCCAAAGGTCTCGTGCAGGGTCATTCTGCCTCGCGACCTGGTTTCTGGTTGCACACCAGTGGCGCGGGGATCCTGACGTACTTTGACTCGGAAGTCAAGAAGACGTTCGGAGAGAAGGACGACAAGGTTTTTAATGACCTGGAAGGAATCGACGAGCTGGTTAACCTGCCCGCCGCGGCTTTCCACCGCAACGTGGACGAAATTGTCCTTAACACGGGCATCAGACATGCGGATTCAGTCAAGACGGCTGTGATCTGTCCCCCTACAATCTACGGCAAGGGCCGCGGTCCGAGCTCCGGCCGTGGACGACAGGTCTACGAACTTGCTTCGTTTGTTCTGAAAGAGCAGTACTGTCCTCGGATCGGGAAGGGGCTTTCGCGGTGGAACAATGTGCATGTGCGTGATTTGAGTAGGGTGTTTGAACTCCTGGTACAAGCTGCGCTGGATCCGTCCTCGAAGGATGATCCTGAGATCTGGGGCACGCATGGTTACTATTTCACGGAGAACGGCGAGCACGTCTGGGGTGATCTGTCCGTTGCTGTTGGCGAGGAAGCCTTCAGGCAGGGGTATATCAAGGGTGGAGCACCCGAGACTCGAGACTGGTCGATTGATGAGGCTGTCAACTCGTCGGCTGGATTTGAGGCGGCGAGTTGGGGTATGAACTCGCGGGGTGTGGCGGCGCGAGCGAAGAAGGTCCTTGGCTGGAGGCCGCAGGAGTTGGGTTTGATCGATGAGTTGCCGGATATTGTTCGATCTGAGGCAGTTAGGTTGGGGCTTTAATGTCGAGAAGGATAGACGGACCGTATAAGTAGTGACTGTTCGGATCTTCATAAAATATACAGCCCTTCAGAAAGGTAGCAACATTGGACAAGATGACTAGACGCTGGCTCCGACAGTAGACTTGATTCGCTCATTTCGTTCCCCTTGACCGTGGGAATTAGTAAATTTATATCGATTTGATAGTGTAGATGCTTGAGCATTTCAATTCGTGAGTATTGCACGCGTCAATCAAATTGCTTACCTAGTGTACCCAGCTTCCTGTTATACTGATAGCACGCTCTATTTAGAGACCACAGCCTATTCAGGCAAAAACAGCTCCGGCGGTAAATCGAACAGACTCTCCAGCATAGGGTTCCCCTGCCACCGATCATCTCCCAGCAAAGCATTGAAAACGCCCGCGTCGTTCGCAAAGTGAAGAACGCCGCCTGCACCAGAAGCCTCAGCAGCCCCAACAGCACGGCTATCCTGTCCACTTTCAGCGGTCCATGACTGCTGCTCCAAACAGCGACTCGACAGATTCTCAAAGAGCTGCAAGATAAACGTCCCACAGTCCCAAAATTCGCCAATATTCTGCAGAGCCATCTGGCAGGAGTTCAGGGCTGACCGACCAAGGCGGGCGACCAGTTTATCTGGGCTCCTCATCCGCTCGTAGAATGCCGCCTGCGCGAGGAAGATACCGTGGTATAACTCGTGGGGGACAGTCAGCTGGGCCGACTTGGTAACAAGCGTGCTCATGACCGTGGGAATATGATGCGCAGCAGAGTCGACGATCTCTTCGACCTCGCGCTCGTCGCGGTGACGTGAATCTTCGCCGCGCATGTGGCCGAGATAAATCAAGATAAGGTGGTTGTTGTATTGAACAGACAGAGACATGGAAAACGGGTTCGAGGGATCCGGCACGTCGGCGTTCCAGGTAAATGTAGAAACCAGGTCTGCTTTCCACCGGGTCAGTTTTGCGTGGAGGTCTCCTGACATTACTGGCTGTCTTCCAGGATAGAACCTGCTCATGATAATCTCGCGCATGATCTGCGAAAGCTTCACGGTCTCGATCTGATACTGTGCATATCGTTGAGCAGAGGGGTTCTCCAGGAAGTCTGGAGCCATGGTATCGTGCGCGAAATCCTCGATCGTCAACATATCTGCATCGGCTTGGTCTAGGTCAATGCGGAACGGACGCCCGACCAAGGTGCCGCATATGCTGTCTCGAACGACCAGCGCCCACCATAATCTTCGCATTAAACTCTTGTCTCGTGGTTGCATGTTTGGTATTGCAATGGTCGAGCGGTGGATTCCCATGGCCTCGGCAATTGTCACGGCTGTACTAACCCATGAGTAAAAGTTCCAGTAGGTATTTGGGCCTCCGCCGTAGAATGAGAGGAGAAAGGTGCTTTGGAGGATAGTGATTTTATTGGTTTCATATCCCATATCAAAGAGCGCTTTGGCCTTCGTATAGAAAAACGAACGGGCCTCTTGCCGGGAATGAAAGCCTAGAAGCTGCAGGACGGACTGGGAGGCGAATGTCACCGCTATAAAGGCAATGGCATAGATGAGGATCAACGACAAATGGTTGTTTCGGTATTGCTGTATAAATTCATGACGATTGACAATCGGATAAAGCGGGTAGACGTGATCCAAGAAGACCGCCATGAGAGCATCTAAATGTGCCTTTTCCGGCAGACTGAACACCCCCTTGGCTCGTAAATATTCGAGGTCCTCGGGCAACATATGTGCGGGCTGTGACTGGAAAGGAGTACTCCCTTGGGGCCCTGGGAAAGGGGGGCCTAGATGATGTAGTTGTGGACGGCTACCGTCCTTCTTGAGACCACCCAGGACGATTGCCAGGGGAAAAGACTCTCCGAGATAAGTGATGGAGCACTTGTCAATCCAGTCTCTTGCATTTTCGCGATTATTCAGGAAATGGTCAAACATTGCGGACCACGAGATATCTTGGTAGGAGGAGCCGTTGCCGGGAGTCCCAGAGGATGCCTGAGTATGAGGAGACTCGCTCGTAGGGAGCACTTCCTGAGCCTGTAAGCTGGGGGGCTCAACGCCGGTCTGGGGATGAACATGGCCTATGCCTATTGAACCCCACGCGGTATTGTCCGGAATAGATGAACCCGTAGGGAGGGCTGCAGCAACATCAGTTCCAGCCGTAGGAAGCGCCCCGGAATCTTCAGCCCGAGACAAATCTCCGGCGACACCAGTCGAGACCCTTTCTCGTGGATGACGCCGGCTTATTTTCTGACCCAGGGCGCTCCGGGCATAGGTTCCCCGTTTCGTCTCACGGAGCACACAGTCCGTGTGGCGATCTCGCACGCAGTGAGTGCATGGCATGTGCTGCATGGCGTCACATTTGACCCGTTTCTCATGGCAGCGCGTACATGCTTTTCCCGCTCGCATGCGCGATCTGGTCGGCTGTCTGTCGGAACCCCTTGCGTCTGCCATTGCACGATCATGTCGGCAACATCAAAACTCCATCGGCCGATATACCACCTGGGTCGTGTTGATGTCATGATAATAAATGAAGAGAAGAGAGAGAAAAAAAGGAGGGGATTAGGCATTAGTCATTCATATAGCCGGTGGCCAGCATATATCCGGGTTACATTCGGCCCCACCCTCTCGATACTTCACGAATTCTCAGTGCTATGTCTTTGGCCAGTGGACAATTGCACCAAAGAACAATCTGCAGGAGCGCATGGGACGATTTGGCCGAGATGAGGAATTCGATGGGGAGCATCTTGGTTCCCATACCATTTAGCCTGTTTGTCTACTACTCCACCAGTGGATGATATGTTAGTAGTTTATAAGGAACAGGCCCTGTGGGTGGGTTGATAAGCTCTCAACAGCTATAAGTACTGACAGGATAAACCATGCTATTTCTCCAAGCGTCTTTCTGGAATGTTGAATTCCATTCTTGACGACGACCAAGCATGCTTCCTCCGACAGAGGCTCCACCAACGGACACGACCGGTGCATCACAGAAGTGCAACCCCGGCCACGCGCTGAACATCCAGAATCCAGAAGCACTGCAACTGCAAGACGCTCCCGTATCCCATGGAGGAGACGCTGAAGCACAGTGCCGTCGCCCACAGGGTGTTCCCCCAGAGTTCTCCGGGTTTCCGGGCGAGTTCGTGTCATACTCCTCTCATACTCCTCTGCTCGATGGGCTTGTTCCTATTCGGCCTCTTCCTCGGAAACGTCGTGATCAACCAAGCCATATTTCCTCACGAACTCGGAGTCAGCGAAAGCAATACCCCATGGTTGATTGGGTCCTTCCTGTTGGCTAACGGGATCGCCGTCATTGTCTCCGGGTCGCTGGCCGATCTGTCGAACCCGAGGATTCTAATGATCCTGGGCTTCGTTTGGCTCGTCATCTGGGATATCGTGGGGGGTTTTAGCATCCGCCCCTCACTGTCCGTGCTATTCTTCGTGGTCAGGGCCATGCAGGGGCTAGCTATTGGTGTTCTGCAGTCAACGTCGATGAGTCTCCTCGGGCGGGTGTACTCGCCTGGGATTCGGAAGACAAGGGTTTTCTCGGTCATGTCTGCAATGACGCCCGTTGGATTTCTGATCGGGTGTCTCCAAGGAGGCGCTCTCACCGCACACCTGCCGTGGATCTTCGGGAGCAACGCTATAGTGTGCTTCATCTGTGCAGTGGCATCGTTCTTTGGTATCCCCTCGTTTACCCCAAAGCCCGGTGTCTCTGGTACTCAGCTATCACTCAAGGACTTCGATACACTCGGTGCCCTCCTGGCTGCATTTGGCTGCGGCCTGATTATCCTGGGTCTCACGCAAGGTGTCCCCAGCGGCTGGAACCCATACACATACTCCCTGATCATCGTCGGAGCGCTCTTTCTCTTCCTGTTCTACTTGGCCGAACGAAGAGCGTCTCGACCATTGATCGATAACCGGCTCTGGACCACCCCCGGCTTTCTCCCACTGGCGATTTCCTATTTCCTCGGATACGGAGCATACGTCGGCGGATGGATGTTCTTCGCCGTGCGTTTTCTCACAATCCAGGGCCACGCCCCTATCACCGTTGCTCTATACTTCATCCCCAACATGGTCTGTGGCGTCCTAGCCACATACATCGTATCGAAGACCTTGCATCTCTTCCCCGGACACTGGATCCTCATCACCGGAATGGTCGCCAACACAATGGGCCCTGTATTCTTCCTCCCCCAGACGCCAAATACAACATACTGGGCTCTGTCGATGCCGGGCATCGCCCTCGTCACCTTCGGACCGGATCTAACATTCGCAGCCGCGTCGATCTTCATCACATCCAATGTACCCCGTTCCTTCCAGGGCTCGGCGGGGAGTCTCCTAGTGACTATTCAGAATCTGTCCGCGGCCATCGTGACTGCCATTGGAGATACGATCGGGAAGGAAGTTACCAAAGCGGGCGGCGACGGGTATAATCTGGACTTGGGGGCTTTGCGGGCGATCTGGTGGTTTAGTTTGGCGATTTCGCTCGCGGCGGCGGCGGTTTGTGCTGGATTTGTTCGCATTCCGAGGAGCGAGGAGAAGGACCACGTGGAGTGAATTCTTTAAATAGTCCAGGATTTGCGACATTAAACCGATAGCCTGCTTTTAGTGTGACTGCTAGCAGGTACAGTCTATTGGCAATGATCATAAGAAATTTTAGGCATCAAGAGCCCCAATAGTCACTCAAAAACAGCCGGTCTATTTCACTTTCATCCAGGGTTAGCCGGGATTACTCGGTGTTCGTATCCATAATGCGAACCAGCCTTTCTTTATAGAAAAAGCAAAACGCCAACCACACGCATGGCCCAATGAGAAAATGCCATTTGCCGCCCGGCTCAAGGCTAGCAGGTGCATGCCAGCTGTTCGCCAGGGATGCGTAGAGCGTCACGCTGGTGGGGTTGACTGTCAGCCTCGTTGTTTCTTTTCAAAATTTCCTCAACTCTGCACATGGAAACAACAGGTTAAAGGGTATCTCAGAATGCTTTCGAAGTTGCGTGCTAAGATCAAATCCAAAAAGGGTGATCGACATTGCCGTGAGAGGCATAACGAACAGTCTCCACCTGTGAGCATCAAAGACCAAGATCGCATCGAAACCAACGCCGATGTTGAAGTTTCCTCCAAGCGAGATGCAAAAGATGATGAGCCATCGAGAGAAAACCTCTGGGAAGTCGCCGGGAAAAGACTGGACGAGAAGGACCGAAAGGCTTTGGGTCTGGAGGGCTCTTTCCCTACCACAGATGCCATCCAAGATGTGATCGAGACAACTGAGAAGAAATACCGTGAGTATAAGGAAGGTGGGCTGAAGATTCGCAAGCGCGATGGGGGACATATAAACGTTCGTGATTCTGCCAAAAACATCATTCTCCATGCATTGGAGGCGCAGGACCTTGTCAAAGCATCGGTGTCTTTTGATCCAACTGGCCATGGTGAGTATCTGATTGACCTTCCAAGGTTCCAGCTTGGATATCTGCTAAAGTCATGTTCAGCATCAAGTGCTTGGTCAATTGTTTCAATCGGTCTGACGCTGATCAATAATGATATTGAACGTCGGGACGACATTTTCCAGGCAGCCGAATATCTCGCAGGCATTCTTTCTTACTATGCGATTGTCGACAATCATTATCGAGACAGAAAAGTAGAAAGCGACCAAGGGTTGGAGGACGCACTGCTTGAGGTCTACACGGCAGTTCTTCAATACGCGGCAGTGGTGAAAAAGGCAGAGCAAGAAAGCGGAGCTGGTATGTCATTCAAACCTTGGAGGTTCTTATGGTGATAGAGACTGATGCCCTGAAAGCCCGCGTGGGAAAAAGCATCACGGCCCTTGTTGAACAGCCACTCAAGGACCTCAAGGAAACTGTCGAAAAGCAAGGGCAGGCTGTTCAAAAGTGGACAGCTTTGACGACAGATCTAGGTAACACCACCTTCCGTTTATCAGGACCAACGCAAGAGGCCTTGCTCATTGTTACAGACCACAGGAAACAAGCAGAAAGCATGCTGGGCGGAATTGACGAGGCGGTCGAAAGGCTGAAGATGATCCAATCGCACAACAGAAGTAAAAGACATCTGCTACGTATTAGTCTTTCAAGAAGGGCATACACTGATTTCAGCAGGTTTGCAAGACCGAGAGATTCTCGACTGGCTGTCCACGGCATCATATTCCTCTTCCCAGAACGACGCTCAAGACCGTCGGCAATTAGAAACGGGGAATTGGTTTCTTAACTTACCCGAGTATAAAGAGTGGAAGGCCACGCCCGGAAAGATCTGTTGGCTTCATGGAGCAGGTGCGTTCTTTCAATCTTCACCAAATCATAACTAATCCATTCCAAAAGTCGGATGCGGAAAGTCGGTTCTCTGTTCTACAGTCATCCAAGACATCGACGAATTCTGCAGGCCTGATTCATCAAGAAACTTCGCCTACTGGTACTTCCAATTCAGCAATGACGAAACACAGAAGGTGTACAACATGATCAGGTCCATATTGCGACAATTCATGCCACGAACACTTCCTGCATCTATGCTCAAACTCTGGGAGGAACATCGTCATCGAGGCAGTGAGCCACAACGACAAAAATTTGCAGATATCCTCGACGTTGTGTTGGAAACTTCTCAGGGCGAGTTTTTCCTCATCGTCGATGCTCTGGACGAGTGCCCCACGGCACAAGACGAACGGAGCGCGCTCTTACAATTCCTCGAAGAACTGTTGGTAAAGCATCCAGGCAAGATGCACATTCTGGCCACGAGTCGACCAGAGCCTGATATACGCTCGAGGCTGGGACAATACCAAAGCGTGAACCTGGAAACTGGATTGGCGGAAGATGTGGAAACTTTTGTTCATGCTCAAGTTGCCAATGGCAGGTTGTCTAAATGGGACGAGTCGATTAAAAAGTGCACCCTGGAGAGATTACTTGATATTCCGGAACGGTATGTTGCATTGATCAGCCAATATGTACAGCATGATTGACACTTGTGATTGAGTAGGCGCTTTCACTGGGCGGATTTGCAGATAAAGAGGCTGCAAGACTGCAAGAATGACGTTGAATTCTATAAAGCGCTTGATTCCATTCCAGCCACACTCGAGGATACCTATAGAGATATCCTGGAAAGGCTATCACCAGATGATCGAGAAGCAGCTCGAACAATATTGATCTGGCTTAGTTTCTCTGCCGTGCCGCTGGATCTGAAGACTGTCGCGGCTGTTGTGTCTTTCCGATTTCCGGAAGCCGTAGTGACAACTTGCACTACTTTCCTAGTCACCGTGAACATCTATGATGAAACTGTGAGACTGGCTCATTTCTCTGTGAAAGAGTTTCTAGTTCTCAACGAAGCCGAGGGTCCATGGTATCGGTTCTCGGCCACATCTGGCCATGATGCCATAGCAAATAAAGCGATCGACTGTCTGCTTGGAACTACCGAGATCCTAACAAAGAGCACCGCCTTGCAAAAGCCATTACTGATATACGCTGCAAAATACTGGGACCGCCATCTGGCAGAACTGGGAGATCTACACATCAATTGTAACGGTCTCCAGGATAAGGTTGACCGCCTGTTCACTGAGCGGGATGTGTATTTCAACTGGCTGCGCTTGGCCAATTTTGATTGGGATTACATGTGGCATCAATCATTCGAGGAGCTGAGTTCGCCTCTGTGTTCTGCATCATACAAAAGACTTGAATCAACAGTCAATACTTTGCTGGCAAAAGGCGCCAATCCTATGGGGTCAAGTCTCAATGGAAACGGCAATGCGTTGCTTGCAGCAGCGAGCGGGGGCTCCCTAGAGGTTCTAGAGTTGTTGTTGAATAAAGTGGATGAGATACCTCGGGGAGTGACTGAATTGATGTTATGGGATATCAAGATCGTCGAGGCCGACAAAGAGAGGTTGGCGGCAATTTTGGACATGCTTTGGGACAAGGGTGCTTTGCATGATCAATCAAGAGCATCCAAGAGGATCATTGACGAGAGATTAGTTGAAAGGGCAGCTAAGAATTACCGGTCGGGCCATATACTAATGGACCAGCTCCTGGAGCGCAAAGAAAAAATGGGCATCAAGATAACAGCACAGTTGTTGAGAGCTGTGATGCGGAATACTGGATGCGGCGAAGACATCATGCACTTGCTTTTCAATAAGTGTGACGCGGATGTAAAGCTTACCCCAACGTTGATGCCAGAGCTAATGTCCGCATCTAATTATGGTGCCGCAATTGTAATTCTAAAAAGGCGGGTGAAAGAAATCTTGGTGGATGAAGGAAGTGTAGGAGCTTTTGCAAGGGGAAAGAAAGAAGCGATGGAGCTGCTTCTGCAGGAGCGTGGCGAGGAAATCCAAGTCACCCAGAAAGTCCTGGTTACAGTCGTCGGGCTTGCTCGCGATCCACAGACCGTGAGGTTACTTCTAAACAGGAGAGAGCCTGGAACCGCTATCGATAAAGAGGTCCTCATAGCCGCTGCGGGAAACTGGTCAAAAGGCAGTGAAATCATGGAGATGTTGCTTGATGAGTGCGGGCAGGACTCCGTCATCGATGAAGAGATCATTCAGAAAATTACAAGAAACCCACGCCAAGGCTTGGGCCTGATAAAGACGCTCCTGCGCAGACAGCAAGCGGGCTTTGTGGTCACCGAGCAGATATTATGCGACGCTGCTCAAAACCACGGTCGGGAAATGCTGGAGCTCCTAGTGAACAATGCCGATGGCTCTGATCTTCCCATTACAGGGCAAATTTTACGCTCTGCAGCTAAGAATCATAATTATGGAGTAGCCGTGGTGGAGTATCTATTTGATCTTCGAGGTCACAGTCTTCCCGTCTCGGAGGATGTATTGGTATCAGTGGCAGATGTGAATTCTTCCTTCGTGGGATCTCCGAAAGTGGACGATGTGCTCACATTCCTCTTGGAGAGATGGCCAGAGATGTCGGTAACTGATCGACTGTTGGAAGCCGCATGTCCCCTCCCTAACGCCATGGGTCTGCTGCTGGATCGACGGCGTGACTGTCTTCCAATCCAAAGAATGATCCACAAAATAGCAACCGACCAGCAGCACAAAGGAAGTGTGCTGGTGATGCTTCTCGATCGACAGCCTGTGGAAGTCGACGAGTGGCTGATGGAAATAGTCGCTGGTAACTCCTATATTCTGGAGGTCATTTACAACAGGAATCCGGATTTCCCCGTGACACCAAAGATAATTGTCAATGCTGCAAAAGACTACAATTCAATGAGCATCCTGCTCGACAGACAGAAGGACCAAGTCTTGATTACAGAAGAAGTGATCAAAGCTTCATTGTCGGGATCGGACCCAGAATCAGTCATAAGCTCACTTCTGACTCGCCTGGGACCAGAGGCAGTGCCAATTACGGAGGATATCTTGATTCATGCTATTCGGAATACCAGACTTAAGTACACCAAGCCTTTAGAGTTGCTTCTGGAACAACGCCGTGGCCTCAATCTGAGTGCAGTCTGGGAAGCAGTATGGCAGGATCCTGAAATTAACCCATCTTCTCTGGGTTGGGCTGCAGGTGCTTTTTTTCAATATGTCAGTTTCGATGTCTCGGAGAAAATGTTGGAAAGGTTCCTATCAGAGTTCCCGGAGCGTTATTTCTCGGGTTACCCCTTTGACGATTTTATGCGCTCGTGCATGCAGCACCGGATACCGTTACCCACCACAGAGGCAGCAGTCGAGTTGATCGTGGGAAGGTCCAGTTTGAATACAATCGATATCTTCTTGGAGGATCATCCTGACATCCCTATCACTGAGAAACACATTGAAGCTGCCGAGGGGAACCCAAGAGAAGACGTAGACAAGGATGCTTTGGTGTCGCTTCTATCCGCCAGGTTGAGTTGATCTTGAAGAATAGGGTCTTGTCAGTATTCAGGCTTTTTGTTTTGAATAGAATCATTCAATTCCTTTTGTTGGTGTCATCTGGCGAGACACATATCAGCCCTCCTATCCTCTTGGATCTTAGTTTCCGTCAACTTCGTGGTTCATTCATAAGGCTCCTCCACTCCGTTTCCCTGACAGTTTCAACCTACAAATTCATACAAAGGATTCCTGTGGATCCCAAAGTTCGTCTCACAAATCCTTTATGTTTGAATCTAATCTAGTAGCTAATGTGTTAAAACTGGGTGACACACGTCAGTCATTAGTCTAATTTGGCTGAGCAAAGCCGTATGCGAATCTTAGTTTATTCTAACAATATCAAAAAGGAGTAAATCCTTCTCTTGATTGATGTATGACGTAGAGCTATACCTAAATGTTTAAATAACTGGGAATACACAACAGATAAGTGGTATACTTATCTGGGTAGATAAAGGGTCCAGGATCCAGACTTCATTGAAGTGGCGGTATCCTGAAGAGAAGGGTAGTGTTTTACTAGAAATACTAACTTAGGGTGCGTCTACAATATCATCTATAGTGTAGAGGCGTAAATGGCATGGCAAGAGATAAGACACATATGAAGAGCTCGGAAGTAACCAATTCATTGTAGAAGAAAACATAAGCTCGTCATTTGGTCAGTCTCATTTTGACGCATCAATCTCAACAAACACTTCTTTTCATAGAAAGTAGAAGTATTACAATCCCAACCAGTACCGAGTCTTCTCGACATCGAAAGAAGACTTGAGCACGCCCTCTCCCGTACCAGTGACCTGCACCTCATACGTGCCCTTCTCGGAAGCCCACTTCTCGCGCTGCTCGTCCCACCAGCTAGTAGCCAATTTCTTCTCAACGACGATCTCCACCGTCTTCTTCTCGCCGGGCTGCAGCTCCACTTTGGTGAAGCCCTTCAGTTCACGGACCGGGCGGTTGACGCCCGTCGGCGGCGGCGCGACCCACAGCTGCACGATCTCGGCGCCAGCGACCTTGCCCGTGTTCGTGACGGTCACGGTGGCCGTGATGGGTTCGCCGCTGTTCGCGAGCTGGGCTTGCTCCGGGCTGGTCTTCAGGCTGAGGTCGGAGCGAGTGAAGCTGGTGTAGGAGAGACCGTGGCCGAAGGGGAAGAGCGGCGGGAGGTTGACCTTCTCGTAGTAGCGGTATCCGACGTAGACGTCTTCGCCGTAGAGCACGCGGCCGCGCTCCGAGCGGAAGTTGAGGTAGCTGGGGTTGTCTTGCAGACGGACGGGGAAGCTGAGCGGCAGCTTGGCGGACGGGTTCACGTCGCCGTACAGCACGTCGGCAAGACCGTTGCCGCCTTCGTTGCCGCCGAACCAGGCTTGCAGGAGCGCCTTAGTTTGCTTGGCCCAGGGCATGGTGACCGGTGTACCGCTCTGGATGACGATAACCGAGTTCTGGTTCGCTTCGAGCACTCTCGAGATCAGCTCGTCGCTGCCCGGGGGCAGGTCCATGTGGTCGCGGTCGTAACCTTCCGTCTCCCATTCGCTGGTCAGACCGGCGAACACGACCACCTGGTCTGCCTTGGAGGCGAGAGCGACGGCCTTGGAGATCAGTTCGTCCTGGCCGACTTGGCGGCTTGCGCCGAAGCGGAATCCGCCGGGGCCGAACGCCACGACGCCGCGGGTGTCGAGATCGGAGGTGGGCGCGCTGCCGAACTGGAGCAGGATCTTGTACGTCTGACCGGCCTTGAGTTCCTTGCTGCCGATCTTCTCCTCGGTGGCGTTGCCGAAGAACGCGGAGCCCTGGCGTTGGTTCTTGGTGTTGTCGACGACCACTTCACCGTCAATTAGCAGCTTACCGGTACCCACAACGGTCACGCCGAAGTCGTAGACCCCGCTCTCCTCGGGGGTGAAGAGACCCTCCATGTCGACGTAGAAGGTCAAGGACTTGATCTTGGGGTTGATGTAATCCATGAGGAAACCGCTGGAAGATACGAGGTGCAGCTCATCGACCAGCTCTCGCTTGGCCTCGGAGGGAGGCTCGTTGAAGACACGGAAAGCAAATCCGGTCTTGCCATCAGCCGTCTTCATGAGGGGACCGAGCTCGGGAAGTTCCTTGTGTGAGTACACGCCCTGGGAATATTGCACCTCGCCCTTGCTCTTGGCCGTGACGCCCTCAAACGGGGTCACGGTGTAGTAAGCATCCAGAGAGGCAGAACCACCGCCACAGTACGCGGCACGCTTGGCGTTGGGTCCGATGACCAGGATCGATTTCTCCTTGTTGAGGGGCAGGATGTTGTCATCATTCTTCATCAGGACGACCGATTCGGCCGCGGCGCGTCGCAGAAGCGCCTGGTCTTGGGGTCGGTTAAGAGCCTTCTCGGGTGCGTTCTCGGGGATGCCCAGGGGCTCGACGAAGTTGATCAAGTTCAATACGTTGCGGACTCTCTCATCCATGACGTACTCGAAAGCCTTGTTGGATGATACAGCATGAGCCAGGGCGGTTCCACGCCAGCGTGTCTTTCCAGGCATCTCCAAATCCAAACCGGCATTGATGGCGTCAGAAGTACTGTAAGTTCCGAACCTGCACACACTCTTTTAATATCCACCTAGCCATCGAGGAAAACGGACGAATCCAACTCACCAGTCACTCATGACGAGACCATCCCAGCCCCACTCCTTGCGAAGAATGTCGGTGATAATCTGCTTGTTCTCGCTCACATGCGTGCCGTTGACCTTGTTGTATGCCGTCATGATACAGGCACTCTGACAGATCCGCAGAGCCAGCTGGAAAGGCAGGAGGTATATCTCGCGCATCGCCCGCTGTGTGACGATGCTGTCAACGGCCAGACGCTCATGTTCCTGGTCATTGCAAACGAAGTGTTTCAGGGTAGCTGCAACGCCCTTCTCCTGCATACCCTTGCAGTAGTAACCGGCCAGAATGCCGGAGAGCACACCGTCCTCAGCAAAGGACTCGAAACCACGGCCTCCAAGCGGCGATCGCTGGGTGTTGATGGTGGGGCCGAGAACAATGTGGGATCCTTTGGCGATAGACTCCTCGCCCATCAATCGCCCCACTTCATGCAGCAATTCGATATCCCAGGTGGCGCCCAGCGCTGTGGAACAAGGGAAACAAGCGGCCGGGACACCGTTGAAGAATCGTGTTCCACGCACTCCATTAGGGCCATCGGACATGCGTAGACTGGGGATGTTGAGTCGAGGGACGGCCGCCGTGTGCCAGAAATCGACTCCTGTAAGGGGAAACAAAATATGCCGTTAGAGATGCGAAAACTTTTTACAATATTTGAGTTCAGGGGTAAAGCTTTCTAGCATACTCACCAGCAACTAGAGCTACCTTCTCCCCCAGGGTAAGCTCCTCAATTGTCTTCTCCACATCTATCCGGGTCATTGTGAACACTGAACAACAAAAGACTCAGCTTCTCTGCTCAACAGACGAAGCGAACAATTTCAGAGATAAGGGAATCGATAAGACGATAAGAAAGAGGGGGGGAAGGGCGACACGAAAAACAGAACACCAGAAATGGAGGGGTCAAAGGACAAAGTGGGATGAATTGCACGTGTTGTGGAGAGGGAATGAGAACAGAAAAGGGCAATGTGGAGGGGGGACATGCAACGTAGATATACCTCGAAGGAAGATGCACAATAAGGAAGGTCAGTCAATCAATAGTTCGACCTATTGGGGAAACATCGTCAACCCGATTGCGAATTTCCAATAAGGCCAACTGTACATCAGCGTTCTTCCCGGACTCCCCGCTCCGTCGCACAAAGGAACCTCAGGTTGGATCCATGATCAATGGCAGGTGGATCGGAAGATGGATCGTCGGTCTAAACGTCCCGAAATTCTCCCAGGGGTGGAGAAACAAAAAAGGACATCTGGTGATCTGACGGGTGGAAAGGTGAAACTGGAGGGCGTGAGAGACATCGCCTGTCGTCGAGGCTGTAAGTCCGTTCAAGCCAAAGGATCTGGATCTAGATCCGAAACGCAACAACTTAGCAAAGACGGACTGGAAGACGGGAGATAAATCCCCAGCACTAGTGTAGGCGGTTGGACTAAGCCTGAGGGGAATCAGCCAGGCCGGCTAACGGCGCGATCAAAGCGACACGGAGGAAAGTCCGAGGATTAACCGACAGCTTGGCGATGCGGCCAGTGGGGGAACACGCGGAGTATCGGACCGGTGTGCCTTGGATTTCTATTTCTCGATGAAATGCCAGATGGGTCTAATGCAGGCGGACCCATTGTTGAACGGCGAACCCTGAACGATGATTGAAGGAAGGAGGAAAAATGGACGACGGGCGAGGTAGTCGAAGGCCGCAAGTCACATGGCAGACCTCGTGTCAATGAACTGTGTACTTTACTCTACTTGTATGAGAACTCCTTCAACAGGTCACTATTAACCATTACTATGCATCGACAGGTTCTACAGCTTCATCTCAAGTACATCCTGGACTCTCAACCGATGCTCCTGTCCCTCCCAAGAATAAGTGAAGAAACAAAAAGAAAAATACAGATGGACTCCGCCAGAAGAGAAACGAGTCTAGAAAGGTATTGTGAATGGGAAAAGAAATGCAAGAACACCGTCCAATAAATGCATAATGTAGTAGGAAGAAATCAAGAAAAACACAAGGAAAAAAGGGCTGAGTCAAGTAGAGAGAACGACATAAGAGCAACATAACTCATTATACAAGCACAAGCTTCAAGAGAGGAAACAAATGGAGTATAGAAAAAAGAAGAAGAAAGAAGAAGAGAAAAATCAGGCACCACGGCGAGGTCGTTTGTTTTCGCCTCCTGTTCGCATGCCTCCCCGGCCGCCTCCATCGCCGTGATTGCCTTCGTCGCCGCCAGGCCGTCCACGCTTGCGATGAGGTCCTCCTCCACCTCCTCCGCTACCACCCTCGCGATGATAGTCACGGTCTCGCGGGCGATCACGGCTGCTTCGCTCTCGTCCGCCCCAGCGGCGGTCTTCCTCTGCATTTCCGCCAGAGGCCGGAGCG